ATGGTAATGGTACAGAAGATATTTGGGCCACGAGGTTAGATCATGCTTGAATGCAACTTATATTACTTCTTTGTTTGAGTTGTGGGTACTGCTTGAACTAATTGCCCTTGAACTGAGATTACTAGGTGTAGAGTATAGTCAAGAGTCAACCACACTGCTGTGTGTCTGGATTCACCTGGATGACAGATGTCCTTCCCCTAAAGATGTTAGTGAACTAGATGGCTTTTTACAATAATTGATGTTCAATCCATGGTCAACATTACTGATGATTAGCTCTTGTGTTCCAGATTTATTAGTTGAATTCAGATTTCATAGTGGGATTTGAACCTGTTTTCCCAAGGCAATTCTTGTAGCAAATGGATTACAAATCCAGTGATATCATCACTGTACTGCCATCTTGCTGCACGACCATTGGGTATTGGCCTACATTGCATTGTGCATGTGCAGTTTTGAGCTACTAGACTTGATCTGAATCTATCCTATTCAGCACTGTAATCATGCTGCACATGTTGACATGAGGATCCCTTCATAATAAGACATCTCTCCACAAGGGCTGTGCAGTGGGCACTCCTACCAATACAGATGAATCTGTGTGAGGGTGAGATCAAGTCTATTTTGTTTCCTCCCTGAAACACTTGGACACTTGGTTCCACACTTTAGGAAGAATGTGAAGGTGTGTTTCAGTTGTAAGCATATATTGGAAAAGTTGGGACTGTTTCTCCTGGAGAAGAGAAATTCTTGAGATTTAATAGGAGTTCTCAAGATCATGAGAGGTCTGGATAGAGTTGATGGTGGGGAGAAAACTGTTCCCAGTAATGTGAAAATCAAGAATTGGAGAACACAGTTAAAAGTTAAGTGGCAAAAGAAACAGTGGATGTACAAGGAGCACAGTTTTAAAATAAGGGGTCTCTGATTTAAGACAGTTGAGGTGAAAATCTTCTCCTGGAAGGATCACCACTCTGTGGGTCTGTCCTCCCCAGAGAGTGATGGAGGCAAGCTCATTGAATATCTTTTTAGGGTAGATTTAGATTCTTTACTTATAAGGGCATGGAAGGGTATCTGGGGGGAGGCAGGAAAGTTGTTTTACAACCACAGTCATATCAGTCATGAACTTGTTATATGATGGCATGGACTCATGGGGTCTGAATGGCACTACTGCTCCTGATTTGGTTGTTCAAAACTTTTATTGTGAAACTTTTTAAGCAATGAATTTTTAAGTTCTAGAATAGATGGAGTGCGATGAGAGAAATTTACTCGAGGCATTTAAGACGAAATTGGATTGTTCTTCCAAAAAAAAGTACAATGTTATGGGAAGAAAATGGGAGAATGGCACTAGGTGCATTGCTTTTTGAGAGCTAGTGCAGAAATGACAGGCTGAATGGCCTCATACAATACCATTTCTGAGACCTCCAGTTTTTAGCAGGTATATCTTTCAATACATCAGAAGTGACACCCCCAATCCAGATTACATTCTGTGCCTTTGCTGCCCTCTGTGCTTATTCCAGTTGGTGTTTAACAGGGAGGTGTACTGATTCATCAGCGAAGGAAAGGTAGCAAATGGGAATCAACAGGAGGTTTCCTTTTCTAAGTTTAGCCTGACCCCATGTGACGTTGTGGGGTCTAGACTCTCCAAGGACTTCCAAGATTACTACTTGACACTGCTACCATCTGTAATTGGATCTGCCCTGATGTTGAGAGAGTGTTGGATGAATCTGCCCATCACTTGTAAGGTCTGGTTTTGTAGTATGACTGTCTAGCTAAGGCTGTTTGTTTGACTGATCAGTGGGACAGCACAGTGCTTTTCAGCACAAGATGCCAGATATTAGAATGACTTTACAGGGTTGACGGGGCATGGTGTGCTGTTGTCATTTCTAGTGCCTGAGACATGGCAGTTGATCTCCAGTTCTTTTATTCTTCATGTTCTCATGGTAGTTTAATACAACTGAATACGATTTCAGAACTCAACACTTGCTGTGGCTTTGAAACATCACCTAAGCTAAATTGGTTAAGAATATCTGACTTCCTTCCTTGAAGGACAGCAGTTAACCAGATGGGTTTTATATGGCATTGAGTATTTTAGTGGGCACCATGACTGAAGCTACTCTTTTTTTTTCCATATGTATTAATATATTTAAATTCTACAGCTGCTGTGGTTGCAAATTAACTTATCTCCAGAGCAGTAGATTGGAATTCTGATTTACTAGTTTGATTTACGCCAAATAATATCTTGAATGTAGAGGTTGATGAGATGCAAAGCGAAGACAAAGGGAACCTATCATGATTATGGGATGTGGGGGAAGAGTGGTGGCAGAAGTGTAGGAATGGATGTTGTTCAGGTCAAATCGACCGACTGATGGGGGAAAATGCTTGTTCAAGGAAATGGGAAGACCTATCATAAGAACTGATTAAAACTAATAAAATGCTGAAACTGCTTGCAACTGAGTTTAGGCTGTTGGCCCTTCATCAGAACTGAAGAAAGAGAAGTGTAATAGGTTTTGAACAAGTGGAATTAGGAAGGGGCACACAAAGACAAGTGAGATGCCATTTTAGAAGCAAAGATGAAGTTTGTTTTTGTGTGTTTGCGGTGAGAGCAGGAACTGGCACTAATATGTTTATAAAAATATTGGAGAAAGACCTGGAGTGTCGGAAGCCAACCTTAGGGGTTTATAAAATCATGAGGGGCATGGATAGGGTTAGTAGCCAAGGGTTTTTTTCCCAGGGTAGGGGAGTCCAAAACTCGAGGGCATAGGTTTAAGGTGAGAGGGGAAAGATTTAAAAGGGACCTGAGGGGCAACTTCTTCATGCAGAGGGTGGTGCATGTATGCAATGAGCTGCCAGAGCAAGTGGTAGAGGCTGGTACAATTACAACATTTATGTTGACATCCAAATACTTTTTGAATAGAAAGGGTTTGGAGGGATATGGCCAAATGCTGGCAAATGGGTCTAATTTAATTTAGGATATCTGGTCAGCGTGGACAACCTGCAGCGAGGGGTCTTTTTCCATGCTGTATAACTCTGACTCTGAGGTAGCAGACCTGGAATAAAGAATAATTGTCACATGTCATGTAAAGGTTGGCTTAGCCAGGATCATATGTGAGTTTTCATTGCAACAGTTATTTGGAGGAAATGAGTGGAGTAAAGGAATAAATTGTTCAATGTAAAAACGAATTCAGCTATGTAGAAGTTGTTGGTAACGAATGTTGACTGGTTGGATTTCTGTTTGGGAAGATGCAGAGAGCAGTCAGACTGTCCTGATGGGATGGATGTGCATGTAGTTTGGCTTTTTACCACAGGCACCCAATGGTTAGTGGCAAGAACAGGTAAAAACGACAGGTCTACAAGGAACTGCGTTCAGGAATGTGGGACCAAAGAAACGGGATTAGGCCATTCAGCAACTTTTTTCAGTTATTCAATGAGATTATGCTGATCTGTGACCTGACCCTGTACAAACAATTGCCCATCTTCCTTAATATTTCTATCTTTAATAGAAATCTTTACAACTCAGTTTTAAAATTACAATTAACCAGCATCTACATGCTATTTGTGGAAGAAAGGTCCAAATCTATAATACATGTCGTATATAATATGTTTATTAATTTAACTCATGAGACCGTGTGCTTAAGTTCAAAATAACATGTTCCCTTAGGCTGGCCAATCAACAGAAATAATTTCTATCTGCCCTATCTATTATTCTTTAATATCTTGAAAGTATCAATTAAATTACTATGTACTCTTCTATATTTCAGAAAATACTGCCCTAAAATGTGATCTTTGTCTTTTAATTTAAACATTGGAATCCTTGTAAGTGGGTAATTAGCCTTAGTCCACAAAGAAGGTGCTCTCCAATAGAAAGAGACAGTTGATTATATAGTTTGAAGGGCAGGCCTCCAGGAAGCTCTGGTATCAGATTGAACCCCATACTCCTGCACTATACTGTAGCCATTTGGCCAGCTGAACTGCTTGGACTCTAGGGGTCCATTGTAATTCTGATAAATCTGAGGTTGGAGGCCTTAGAAGGATCTCCTGAAGAGATTAGATCATTGACAGTGTTGGACAGCAGAACTTTGAGGCCTTTTGTTAGCACGTTACCCAGGTTGCTTATTGGTTGACTGTTGCCTACTGCTGTTTTCCCCTTCCTCGTATCCATTCAGCTGCTTGCCCTTGCTTTTCTGTTCTTTGCTTTTTATCTGCTACTCATCCCTAACAATGTTAGAAGAAAGTAGGCAAGTGCTATTATCACAAAGTAAGTAACAGTTCTAAAAAATCAAAATAGCACATTAAGCACTGACCATCTGATAAGACTGACCTGTGTACTTGCCAACTCTCAAAATAGCGCATATATAAGCCATTTCGAAAGCTGTTAGGTTGTGGGTCGGGGTGGGGGGGGGGCGGGGTGTTGTGTGGTGGTGGAGACTGCGTTTCCACTAATTTTCCTTGGTCGTGTCATGTTGCTCTTCTTTCTAGCTAATTTCTGCAACACCCTTTTAGCAGTCAGTCTATCTTAATTATCACAGAACCAATAGATTGAATCGCTACAGAACAAGCAGTAAGCTTCTGCAAATTCAGGTTTTGAGCAGAACATTTTCTGTTAAGAATAGATCTGGTTTTGCAACAGTGTAGTAGTATTGTACAACTATGATAACCATGAATTACAGTATGATTAGTTCTCCCCCCATACCTTTTGGGTAGTTATGTAATTAAGCTGATTATTCATTGAATTTAATGGTTTGAATAGTCTAATATTTGTAAAGCACTTCTTTGTCAGTTTAATATTCCTCCTTTATTGCAAACCTGCATGGTCGAGGTGTTCCCTGGATAAATTTGAGGAAGTTTAATATTTTAGTGATACATTTATGAATATTGCAATTCATTTTATATCTACCCTTGTCAAATTTATATTCCTTATTCATTGGAATTCATTATTCTGTCTAGTCATACTGCATTTATAACTGGTTGCAATTCAAAATAATTTAATCACTGACTTTTTTCTTTTCTTTTAGTTCCAACCACCAGTGAAAGGATTCAAGAGAATCAGTTCAGTTTTACATTAACTGATAAACAAAGAGAACAGATTATCTCTGGGTAAGTAGAAAATAATGTTTTTTCAAATATTAAATCGTGTAGAACACATGCAGTGTTTTCATGACTGCTAATAAACTTTTTTTTTAAACCAAGTATATGTTCTAGTAGAGGTTATTCATTTGCGAAAAGTTAGCCTATGATTTCTTCGAATGGGGTTCTACAAATGAACTTTTTTTTTCTTTCTGTCCTCTGACTCTAAACTGAGGTATAAATCTTGACTACTTGAAAGCAACAGCAAGTCTTCAGCCAAAATTATGATCTATGTTGTAGGATGTCTTTTGTTAATGGGGAAGAACGGAGGAAACCCACACAAGTCAGCATATAAAGGGATGTGAATTGTTTAATCTCTTGAATTTTTCTTCTGGCATTTGGTGAGAATGACTGACTTATCTGTGACCTAACCCTTTTTGCTCCTGATACCTTAATAACTAGTTAACAGAAATCTATCAATCTCTGAGTTTAAAATTAACATTTCACCCAGCATCATCTTGCATTTGAGGAAAGGTTTCAGAATTTTACTAGCCCTTGCATGCAGAAGTATTTATTGACTTCTGCAAGTGTGGATTTTAAGGATCTGTCTTCTCTTCCTAAATTTCCGAACTAGCAGAAATGATTTCTCTCTATCTGCCCCGTCATTTCCACCAAATATCTTGAAAACGTCAATCAAGTTGCTCCTTAATCTTCTAAATTTCAGAAAATATGCACCATTTTGTAAATCTACACTGCATTCCTCCAAGGACACTTTCCAAGAACTGAACAAAGTCAACAAGGTTTGCTCTATCCAGTCCGTTGTATAGCTGTAGCATGACTTCTAATCTCTCTTGTGTTTGAATTCATCATTTTTCTTCCAAACACACAATCAATACCATCTAGAAGGACAAGGTCAACAGATACATGGAAATGCCACCAAATGGACTGCAGATCAAGAAAGCAGCTCACCACCACATTCTCGAGGGCGACTAAGGAGACACAATAAATGATGCCCACATCCCACGAAGGAATTTAAAAAATCAGTAATCCATTAGCCTTTGATTCTTTTTTTTTAAGCTGTTCAAGGCGTAAAGACCCATCAGTTCCTTTGGACTTCCACTACTTCTAGCTTTTCAGTATTTAGAAAGTACCTCTTTACTTATGCTTTTTATATCCAAAATGGGTGACCTCAGCTTGCTTATATTGAAACTATTTATCAGTTTTGCCCATACACTTGATCTATAACTATCCCTTTGTAACTTTTATCATTTTTGTCTACAATGCTGCTATATTATGTCATCGGCAAACTCAAATGCAACTCTGTTCCAATGTCTAAACCATTAATTATTACAGTGCAGAGGTCACCAAATATTCATTTTGACCATCCCAAACCCATCCTGCCAATTAACAGTATTCTTATTCTATTGCTCAGCTGAATTTTTAACCAGGCTGATAATTTATTCATAATTTTACAAGTTATGATTTTGGCTAACATTTTTTAGGGGACTTTATCAAATGCTTTCTGGAAGTTGAGTGAAGTGTCATCCCTCATCCACTACTTCTGTCACATGTTCAGCAGATTCAATAAGGTTCAGGCTTAATCTACCTTTTTACAAGTAGTTGTTAGTTGACTGTAATCAGTTGACAATTGGAAGTGTCCAGAACATAGAACAGTACAGCACAGTACAGGCCCTTTGGCCCACGATGTTGTGCCGACCTATTATCCTACTAAGATCAATCTACCCTGCATACCCTACATTTTACTATCGTCCATGTGCCTATCCAAGAGTCGCTTAAAAATCTCTAAAGCATCCGACTCCACTACCACTGCCGGCAGTGCAACGCCCACCACTCTCTGCGTGAAGAACCAACCCCCGACATCTCCCCTATACCTTCCTCCAATCACCTTAAAATTATGCCCCCTGGGGAAAATCTCTGCCTATCCACTCTATCTATGCCTGTCATCTTGTACACCTCTCATCCTTCTTCGCTCCAATGAAAAAAGCCCTAGCTCCCTCAACCTTTCCTCATAAGACCCGCCCTCCAGTTCAGGCAGCATCCTGGTAAATCTCCTCTGCACCCTCTCTAAAGCTTCCACATCTTTCCTATAATGAGGTGACCAGAACTGAATATTCCAAGTGTGGTCTAGCCAGAGTTTTATAGAGCTGCAGCATAACCTCACGGCTCTTAGACTCAATTCCCCTGCCAACGAAAGCCAACACACCATACGCCTTCTTTACAACCCCATCAACTTGGGTAGCAACTTTGAGGGATCTATGGACATGGACCCCAAGATCCCTCTGTTCCTCCACACTGCCGAGAATCCTGCCATTAACCCTGTATTCTGCATGTCTATGCACTCTATCCTTAGTTATCGTAATTTCCAGATAACAGAAGTTACAATAGATGGTTGACAACTTGGTCTATTGTTCTTGCTTTTCCTCTATCACCTTCTTAAGATGGTAAGAAACAGATATAAGAGTACAATATGCAGCCCCTCAAGCCTGCTGCACCATTGTAAACAAATATGCTGATCTTCTGCGTCAACTGCACTTCCCTACTTGCTTCCCATGTTTCTTGTTTCTCCAAAAGATCACAGATTTATTCCAGCCTTGAGTATGTTCAGTGACAGAGCATCTTGAATGCTTTGGGGTCAACAGTTTTAAAAGCGTATCAGGCTCTGAGAGGAAATATTTCCTCATCTCAGTCCTAAATGATTAACCCTAATACTGTTCCTGTATTCTAGTCATTGTCTATTATGTCAAACCCCTACAGAATTTTTATATGTTCAGGGAAATTACCTCAGTTTTCAAAGCCCACAATCAAGGGAACTTGAAGATCAGTTAGGGCACCTGCAATACACTGATTTAGCACAGGGCATTTGCCAGTTTCCTTCAAGGCTATAATCTGTTGTTTCCCATCTATCTCTGCCAGGCCAAACAGACAAAAAGTAGTATATCAACTGATTTACCACAGATTAAAGAGAAGATTGATCTGACCTCAGACAAAGGCCAGAGTGAGGGTCGGGCCATCGGGGACAGTGGAGGGAACTTGTGTGTGGAGTCAGAGGAGGTAGGGGATGTCCTTAATGAATACTTTGCTTCAGTATTCACCAGTGAGAGGGACCTTGATGTTTGTGAGGACAGCATGAAACTGGCAGATATGCTCGAACATGTTGTTAGGAAGGAGGATGTGCTAGAAATTTTGAAAAACATGTGGATAGATAAGTCCCCTGGGCCAAATGGGATATACCCAAGGTTACTATGGAAAGCGAGGGAAGAAATTGCTGCCCCTTTGGCAATTACCTTTACTCCAGTGGACAGTGAGGATGCAGTGCCAGAAGATTGGAGGGTGGCAAATGTCATTCCCTTGTTCAAGAAAGGGAGTAGGGATAATTCTGGAAATTACAGACCAGTCAGTCTTTCTGTGGTGGGCAAATTATTGGAGAGGATTCTGAGAGAGAGTATTTATGATTATTTGGAAAAGCACAGTTTGATTAGAAATAGTCAGCATGGCTTTGAGGGGCAGGTCATGCCTCACAAGCCTCATTGAATTGTTTGAGGATGTGACAAAACACATTAATGGAGCTAGAGCAGTGGATGTGGTGTATATGGATTTTGGCAAGGCATTCGATAAGGTTCCACATGGTAGGCTCATTCAGAAAGTAAGGAGGCATGGGATTCGGGGAAATTGGCTGTCTGGATACAAAACTGATTGTCCGATAGAAGACAGAGAGTGGTAGTTGATGGAAAGTATTCAGCCTGGAGCTCGGTGACCAGTGGTGTGCTGCAGAGATCTGTTCTGGGACCTCTGCTCTTTGTGATCTTTATAAATGACTTGGAAGAGGAAGTGGAAGGGTGGATTAGTAAGTTTGCCGATGACACAAAGGTTGTTGGAGTTGTGGACAGCGTGGAGGGCTGGTGTAGGCTGCAACGGGACATTGACAGGATGCAGAGCTGGGCGAAAAAGTGGCAGATGGAATTCCACCCAGAAAAGTGTGAAGTGATTCATTTTGGAAGGTCGAATTTGAATGCAGAATACAGGGTTAATGGCAGGATTCTCAGCAGTGTAGAGGAACAGAGAGATGTTGGGGTCCACGTATATAGATCCCTCAAAGTTGCTACCCAAGTTGATGGGGTTGTAAAGAAGGCGAATGGTGTTGGCTTTCATTGGCAGGGGAATTGAGTTTGAGCTGTGAGGTTATGCTGCAGCTCTATAAAACTCTGGTTGGACCACGTTTGGAATATTGTGTTCAGTTCTGTTCACCTCATTATAGGAAAGATGTGGAAGCTTTAGAGAGGGTGCAAAGGAGGTTTACCATGATGCTGTCTGGACTGGAAGGCAGGTCTTATGAGGAAAGGTTGAGGGAGCTAGGGCTTTCTTTATTGGAGCGAAGAAGGATGAGAGGTGACTTGATAGAGGTTTACAAGATAATGAGAGGCATAGATAGTGGATAGTCAGAGACTTTTTCCCAGGGCAGAAATGGCTTTTACAAGGGGACATAATTTTAAGGTGATTGGAGGAAGATAGGGGAGATGTCAGAGGTAGGTTCCTCACACAGAGTGGTGGGCGTGTGGAATGCGCTGCTGGCAGTGGTAGTGGAGTCAGATACATTAGGGACATTTAAGCGACTCTTGGATAGGCACATGGAGGATAATAAAATGTAGGGTATGCAGGGTAGATTGATCTTAGTAAGATAATAGGTCAGCACAACACTGTGGGCCGAAGGGCCTGTACTGTGCTGTACTGTTCTATTCTATGTTCTATGTTAACTCCATTCTATGTTTTTTTTTATTTCTTTTAGAATGGGCTATGCATTAGAGGCATGTGCAATTTCTTTACACAGAAATTATTATAAAACATTTTAAGTTCGGGTTTTATTTGCTTTCTTCAAGATGTTCAAAGAATGGCGTGCAGTCAATTCAAGTGCAGTTAAGGTAAGCAATACAATATAATTCCAAGTAATGCACTTTTGTAAGTCAATGAAACGTTAAATGTTTCCAGTTTAGTCCAAGCCAGAGCAAATTCCTACTGTAGAGATACTAAAAGGATCATTTTGCACTAATGCTATGTCATCTGGAAGTATTGGCATATCTTTTTGTAGTGATTGTCACAAGTTCAGCCAGGTGGACCTCCATCGAATTAACTCCCTGACTGGGACTGCTAACCTGGTCCAGTCAGGGAATCCTGGCTGATAGATAGATAGATTTCAATAGGAGTTCTGGAAAATATAGAATAAAGTTCTTGCACGACCGTGTGTTTTTACTGAGTCACTACACATTTGCACACAGCTACTGATGATGCAGGGAAAATATAAGCACCATTGCTGGAGCCCCTTTGCATGCAGTTGTTTTGGTGGGGGGAGGAACTGGAGTCTCAGATTGTCTCCTTATTTTAGGAAGGAAACAAGAAACATGAGTGTCAGGGGTTCTGTTTACTCTGAGGAAGCTGGACCAGTGTCCAGTACAATGCACGCATACATAAAGGTTACTATGGTGACTGGATACCTCTGTGGAGTTACTTAAGTTGCAGTGAGAGGGGGACAAAAAGCACCTGAAGAAATTCACTCGAAACCGTTGTCTTTGATTTGTGATAAGTATTTCTGGCATCATACGGTTATTTGGGAAGCTTGACCCAGTTGATCCTGCCATCGAAGACTAAGCCCAGTATGTGGAAAGAATGTATCATTTATTTCTCAGCAAATGACATTGGGGCTGATGAAAAGCAACGAGTAATTCTCCTGATATCTTGTTGACCAGCAGCTTTTTCAGTTATTAGGAGCCTAATGTTTGCTGAGACACCAGATAACTAAATCAGTCAAGGTTTTAGTAAGGAAAATTATGACCTCAAGCCACCTCTAATTCTGAGATGCTGTCGGTTTTACTGAGCATGTCAAGAACAGGGGAATCTGTCGGGATTTTTGACAAGGTTAAGGCGACTGGCAGAGTCATGTGACTTTGGTTTAACCCTTAATGAGATGCTGACAGATTGTTTGCTTTGTGGGATTAATGACATAACGATGCAAAAGCATCTATTAGCTGAAGCCTAACTGGATTCGTGTAGTCACTACAACTGGCTTTGTCACTAGAAAATATTGCAAGTGGAGCATATGAGTTAGAGTATTCTAACAGAAGTGGACACCCTCACCAGGTCTACTGAGCTTGGGGGACACCACTTGAGTGAAGGCAATTGCATAGCCTCATTCAGGACATACCCTGAACAGGGGGACTCTAGGCCAGCCCACAGCAAAACCCCAAAACAGAACCAAGCTTTGGCCAAACAGTTAACATTTTCTTCAGGATCCAGGCCAACAAGCCATTGTAGTTCCTGCAGCTATGTGGACTCGACAGCAAAAGAGTCCCAGTAGCCATGAATTCAGTAAGAGAATCCATAGGTTGGTATCCAGGAGAGTGCACACCCTGGAAAATCCACCGACATCTGGAACAGGTAAATTGCTTAGCAACATCCAAATCAGAACCAATCAAAATAAACATCTGGTTAAATGGTCACCCAGTTCTAATGGAGGTCGATACCGGCACGGCAGTTTCAAAGATTGCAGAACCAGTCTTTAGCAAAATTTGCTGTGGACCTCAACCCTTAAGTTTACACAAGACCTCGGCTGGATTGAAAGCCCGTGCTGGGAAACCTCTTACAGATTATGGGTATAACTTTGGTTTCGGTCTCTTGTGAGAAGCAGCTGGTCCAGTTACCATTGATTGTGTTGAAAAGCTTGGATCCAAGTTTGATGTGGCAAAATTGTATGCGAAAGATTCACCTTGATTCGCTCACCATTTTTTTTTTAATGCTTAGAAAATGTCTGCCTGAGTGAAGTCCTAATTAAATATCTGGAGGTTTTTCAGGAAGGTGTAGGGACTATCAAAGGAGACAAGGCCACCTTGCATGTTGACCAGGAAACAGTTCCATGATTCTGCAAGGGTTGCCAGTTTGATTTGCCTTGCATGCAAAAATAGAGGCAGAAATCAGAAGGCTGGAAAGCCAAGAATCGTCAGACCAGTGCAGTTTTTGGCATGGGCAATCATTGATCATCAAACCCAATGGGGTGGTTTGCCTTTTGTGGGGATTTTAAACAAACAGTAAATCCTTCACGCAGCTGGATAAATATCTAATTCCTTGCCTAGAGGACTTGTACGCAATGCTGGCTGGGGAGCTGTCCTTCACGAAGCTGGCCATGCATACCTGCAATTGCAATTAGATGAGGATTCCTAGAAGTATGCTATAATTAATACTTATGAGTTTATACCACTATGAGTACCATTTTTCAGCGGACTATGGAAAACATTTTACAAGGTCTATCCCAGGTCTCCATTTACCTGGATGATGTGCTAATAACCAGGAAGACCAATAAAGAGCACTTGAAGAACTTGATGCTTAGCAGCTTCTCCAAGGCCTCGGAAGGGAAAAATCTGTGTTCCAGGCATCTCAAGTGACTTGGTTGGCTTACAAAGTTGAAAAGACTGGGTTACACCTGTTAGAAGATAAAGTGAGAACGTTCAAAGGTGCCTTGGCTCCCATGTCTGTACTGGAGCTTAGGTCTTTCCTTGGGTTAGTGAATTATTATAAAGTAAACTGTCCTCCATCCTGGCACCCTTCTATCTATTGAAAAAGAGTCAGCCTTGGAAATGGTCTATAGCCAAGCCGTAGCTTTCAGGGAAGTGAAGAATCAGCCATCATTGTCTAAGGTATTGGCACACCGTGATCCCAAGCAGGATGTGGTGCTGACATGCAATGCCTCCTCGTACGGTATTGGGATCGTGTTGTCTCCAGATGGCCCAATGGAGAGGACGCCCAGAAGCATATGCTTCCTGGACTTTGGCTGATGCAGAGTGCAAATATGCCCAGATAGAGAAGGAAGGTTTGGCAGTTTTCTTTGGTGTAAGAAAGTTCCATCAGTACCTTTTATGGACGTAAATTTGTAATAGTGACAGATCACCAACCCCCGCTAGGGCTACTTAAAGAGGACAAGGCCGTGCCGTCCATCGTTTCAGGTTGAAATCAGTAGTGCATTCTTATTCTGTGTGTACACTTACAATCTGGAACACTGTTTGGTTAGCCAGGGGGCAAATATGAATGCCTTGAGCTGCCTCCCATTGGCAGATACACCATCTGGAAGAATCTGTTCTGGTTTTAAACTTTCTGGACACCCTTTCAGTCACTGCTGACAATATCCGACTGAGGACGCAAGAAGATCTGGTCCTGGCAAAACTGAAATAGCTGGTGGTGATGGGTGAAACCAAAGGGCCATCGTAACCAGAATTTAAATCTTTGGGACCCGGTGAGACCAGATCACTAGAGGATAACATTTTATTATAGGGTGTAAGAGTGACTGTCCCAAGCAAAGGCCACTGCCAGATACTGGCTGAATTCATCCAGGGGTTTCCAAAAAAGAAGGATACTAGCAAGAAGTTATGCCTGGTTGCTAGGATTGAATGCAGACATGACCCTGTTGGTAGAGCAGTGCGTAGAGTGCCAACAAGGACAAAATTTACCACAGCAGTTCCTGCACATTCACGTGAATGGCCAGGTAAACCCTGGATTCTGTTGCACATCGAACAACATGTCAGCCATTTAATGGGGCTCAATGTTCTTGGGCATTGTGGACGCCCACACAGTGGTTGGAGTGCATAGAGTTCGTTCATCAAACATGGATGACAATGCAAAAAATGCTTGCAGCTTTTCTGATATACTGATTCCCCGAAGTGTTGGTCACAGACAATAGACCGTTATTTACCAACAAGGGATTTGAATATTTCCTAAAGTCAAATAGCATTGAGCATACAAGGATAGCTCCATACTATGCGTCATCCAATGGTCTGGCAGATATTGGAATAATCTGTCATGTAAATACAAGGCTAGCTCCAGCAGAGTGGCTAATGGGGAGAAGACTCCACACCAGATTAAATCTGAGCTTCCCGGACCTGGAGAGGAGGGTGAAAAGACATCAGGAACACCAGTGCTGGACACAAGATTCCCCTAAGCAAGTTTACTTCAAGGAACGAAGCATTCAAACACAAAGGATAATTTTACTTTTTTTTGAATGAAATCTTTGGGGATGTGAGAAATTTGGGACACCACATTTTAAACAGGCACACTAGGTAGGTTTGGATCTTTGGTTCCCTCATCTCTTCACCAGTGCAATTTCTTCTGTCATTTCTGTTTGTTGATGACTGAACAAATATCATTGCTGTGAGGAGTCAACTACTCTGTTAGCCATGCTTGTGACAACTAGGATGGGAGAACGCAAAGTAGATGGAGCTCAGTCTGTCTCATCAAGCAATTCCAATTGGTCCAATGCCACTTTCTGTATGAAATATGAAGAGATTAGCAAAAGTTATCATTTTCTTTAAAATGCTTCACCAGTGTCTCGAATTGGAATGCTCAAACGTATTACTGTACTCCAAGGAAATAAATTCTTAGTCATTCAGTTGTGCAGAGTGGCTGGCTCTTATTGATTGTCAGTTCTCTTCCTGATGATCAGCCAGGTCTGTATGAGCTCTCATCCTGCTGATCCACTGGGTCAACTTATTCAACTACAGTAAAGACCTCTGATTTTTTTTTTTTTACTATTTTATACCTCTCTCTCCTTGGAATAGTATATTGATAGGCCATACCTTCCTTTAAATCTGTCCATAAAAGCTCTGGTACCTAATTATATTCTCACATATAGGATTTGAGCCTACCCAGAAAGAAGCCCCTTTTTTTTTCTTACATTTTTCCTTTGAAGCTTTTTGTGCTCAGCCTTCTAGAAAAAGATGTTTGTATTTTGTTTGCTGGAACATTGTACAATTTAGATAAGATGGCGTGCAGTCTTCAAGGCCTGTTCTTCATAAATCCAAATATCAATGCCTTTGTTGCCTGTACTATCTTTCCCGATAGTACATTTATTCACTTCATATTTCAAGTTTAAATCAGGAAAACTGAAGTTTGCACAAGTGATTCTGTCTTCAGTCCACTTTAGTTTGTCACAAATTATGATGGGTAATGTGGCCAAGCTTTTTTTAAATTGATTTTTTTTTTCTTATTTGCTGCCTCACAGCCATGCCACCTGAGAAAACAAGGTCTATGTTGTTCTAAATATATCAGTGGAAATTTGAGGAAGGAAAAAATGGCTTCTGTCATTTTTTTAGACAGTGGTTTTGTGTGGGCTAGAAGTGATTTTTGCTGCTGACTGATTGTTCTGTGTTTTCATTGCACTGTCTTCATTTGGGGGTGAAAGGTGTGCTAAATGTAGTTATAGCATAGCAGTATAGCTAAGACTTCACTTTTCCTGCCTGGTACAAAAATTGAGAATAGTTACTCTAGACAGTCTCATGTAATGAGGCACTGCTGTCCTTCTGGACCTTGAGAAACCAAAACAAGCTATTTCAAGGGTTAGCCGATTGATGATGGGAGAGTAGTCCCTAAGTAGAGCAGATATTAAATGTACTTTTCTGAGCCCTTAAACACTTCTTCTTCTGCTATTTTAAAAAAAAATTAATTCATGGGATGAGGGCATCATTGGCTAGGCCATCCTTTATTGCCCATCCCTATTTGCCCCGAGGGCAGTTAAGAGTCAACCACATTGTTTTGGGTCTGGAGTAGCATGTAGGATTGGACCAGGTAAGGATGGCAGTTTTCTTCCCTAAAGGACATCAGTGAACCAGACGGGGTTTTTTTCCCAACAATCGACAATGGATTGATGGTCATCATTACACTCTTAATTCCAAAATTATATTGAATTGAAATTCCACCATCTGGCATGGCGGGATTCCAACCTGGGTCCCCAGAATATTACCTGGGTTTCTGGATTAACAGTCCAACAACTGTGTCGGTAGGCTATTGCTGCCTCCTGCCCACCAGCTCCACCCTCCCCCCATCTAGGAGCCTTGAATTGCAAGCAGAGTGGAGATGGCTATGTTGGTAGTCTTAAGTAAGCAAATTGAACCAACATGATCTTGGGATTAGAATGAGTAAGACTAGCCTAAACTTTTTTTTAATTCACTCATGGGATGTGGGCATTGCTGGCTAGCCAGTATTTATAGCCCTTCCTTAGTTCCCTTAGAAACTGTTGGAGAACTACCTTTTTGAACTGCTGCAATCCACGTTCTGAATGTTGACCCACCATGTCCTTAAGGAAGTAATTCCAGGATTTTGACCCAGTGATAGTGAAAGAACAGTGATTTTATTTTCAAGTCAGGTCAGGGCATGGCTTGGAGGGGAACTTGAAGATGGTGGTGTTCCCAAATTTCTGCTGCCCTTGTCCTTCTAGATGGAAGTGGTCGTGGGTTTGGAAGGTGCTGTCTAAGGATCTTTGGTGAATTTCTGTAGTGCATCTTGTGGATAGTACACACCGCAGCTACTTAATATCAGTGGTGGAGGGAGTGGATGCTTGTGAACATGGTGCCAATCAAGCAGGCTGCTTTGTCCTGAATGGTGTCAAGCTTCTTGTTGGAGCTGCAGCCATTAAAGCAAACAGGGAGTATTCCATCATGAGATGGTTTATTGGCTTCACTTATTAGTAATATTGAGCTAGATCCTGGTTAATCCTTGCATTGTAAATGAGATGAGGATAATTATTTAAATCTCAGGCAGTGTGTAGAATGTTAGCCTAGACTTACCATTACAAGATTTGGTAATTTGTCTACTTTCAATTTTCAAGACCCAACATTTTTTTTTCTCTCTCCTATTTCTCCCTTCCTTGGTATCTCAAATAAAAGTCCACACCATGTTTGTAGTTCAGTATAATACAATCTAGGTAAATACTCTGCTTTTCCTTGTTAACCAATGCCAGATTGCTGGCACTTTAAACAAAATTTTGGAACCTTGTTGGGTCCCCTAATGGACTAATTACTCCAGCTTTCGCAGTCAGCATGTTAAAGCAGTGGCATATTCCGATTTTGGCAAATATAAAATTAGGATTGGAACAGTGCTCCTACAATCTCTAGTTTGGCCTTCAGTAAAGATGAGGTGATGGAAGTAGCGATATGAAATTCCTTTTGCAACAAAATTCATATTTTTCTTTTTTTTTAAGGATTTGCCACTCAGATACAGAATTTATTCAAGAAGACCAGTATCCTCCCTACCTGTCAATAAAAGTAAACTCAAGGGTGTGTCATTTTACGGTAAGCTTTTGCCATCTCATTGCATATGAGGACTAGACAAGAGAATTTTACAACCTGATACTGAAACTGGAAGAAAAAAATGATTACATCTTAGTCACTCAATATTAAAGTATTTACCAGAAGCAGTGTAGAATGAAAGTAGTGTGCTCACTCATAGTAGAGTTAAAAAAAAAAGTTTCTGATGTAAAGTCACTGCCTTTTTTAAAGCAATTTTCATGTGTTATCAGGCCATCAACCAATTTTCAAAGCTCATATTTATTTGCTAATTCCTTCTTCAATCTCACTCTTTCTTTGGCATATTCACTCTTGTTTTGCAATCAGAATTATCAAGAGCATGCCTTGATCAGACGAGGCAGTTAGCTCAATGTAAAAAATAGATAACAGCAAGAGTTATAATAAATGCTAGTTCATTGGTAGTTTTTTTTTTAACGGAGCATTGTCTAGTGCTAGGAATTTTTGTAACAACCATTTTTGTAACACCAAAATTAAAGGGAACTAATGGGTTTGAGACTTATTTTACTGCTGAAACGAAGTTTGATTTCAGCCCAAACCAATGAGATGATCATCCAGCTGGAAGGATCCTTTTTGAACTGATGATGGAGAACTTCTGTTTAAGTTCTGCTCATGACTTCAGATCTTGTTCAGAGAATCTCAAAGATGGCTTGTACGTGACTTGGAGACACCTGAAGGAGGAGTGATACTCCAAAAGCTTGTGTCTTCAAATAAATCTGTTGGACCATAACGTGGTGTCGTGTGATTTTTGTTCACCACAGTCCAACACCAGCACCTCCATATCTTTGATAAGGCCAGCAGTTATTGCTTCTGAAGTTATTGCCATTAAAGTGATATGCTAGTCCCAACACCCTTTAAAGAGGGAGTGTATTGAGACTGGGGCAGGTGCTAGGAGTCTTTTGTAAGCTGAATCTATCCTCCGGAAGTTACAAGAATAGTACAAAATGAGAGCGAGCAAACTCCCAAACTTTTTGGATGCCGAGTTGGAGACCTTTGTGTAGGTGGTGTGTTGTATCTGCAGAAGGCCCTCCAAGCATGCACTTCTGAGTTGGAGAAGATAATGGAAAATTTACCATTACAAAAAGTTAAGTGATCTCACACATGATTATGCAAGATTGATGATTGCATCGTCAAAAGCCATTGTATCACATGCACTTACTAGGCTCAGGCTTTGCACCATTTTACCTTAGTTCCATCACCCACCTATTAATAATATCTATAAACCAGGACTCTCTGACATGTACATGTTGTACCACTCAAACTTAGCATTGCTTGAAGCCTCATTCATACAGCTTGCACACACTGTCAGTTTCTCAACCTTGTAGTTATATCAGCCAAAATGCAGAATATGTACCAATTTGATTCTTTCTCACTTGCAAGAAAAGGTCACACACCTGAAGGTAGCTGGACCAAACTGGAGGGAGACATGTATGTATTCATGAACAAAAACAAAGTTGTTGGAAAAGCTCTGTGGGTCTGGCTGCATCTGTAAAAGAAAAAAATACAATTAACATTTCAGGTCCGGTGACCCTTCCTCAGAACCGAATGCATTCGTGTCTTCTTGACCAAAACCAAGACTTCCATTGCTGAAGTTGGGAGCTGCAGAAGTACTAAACCATGGAAAATTGCTGTATCCTCATACCTAATTCTCCTTTCTTCATCCCAAGTTCCCTTTGTCTTCATAAACAAGCTGCACCTCGTGTAAGTGACAGCTTTTACTTTCCCACCTTCTCTGCACCACAATCTATCCTTGATACTTTCTCCTTCTAAATTCCCAAGAAATGTAACCTGGTCAAGCCGTGCAGGAGTATCAAAAAAAAAGACAAAGCACTATAATCATAGAGTTATACAGCATAGAAACAGACCCTTCAACCCAATTCATCCATGCTAACCGGATTTCCTGAATTGAACTTGTCCAATTTGCCTGTATTTGGCCCACATCCTTGTAAACCTTTCCTGTCCAAATGTAATTTAAATGTTGTAACTGTATCTTTACCACTTCCTCTGGCAGCTCGCCTTCTCCTCCTATTTCATTAGTTTGTCCTGTTTCTCCTCTTGTTCTTTTCCAAGTTATGTTGCCTTCCAAGGGGCATGTGCAGTCATACACCCATGCATGGGAACAACTGATTTAAACAGAAGCCTTAAGGTCACTGCCAGTCCATTTCAGTTGACTTTAGCAACTTTAAACAGCCATAGAAAATACCTCACACTTGTAGAATTGCAACAAAGTCAATAGTTGAACTAGCAACTAACCTGTGGATAGTAGTTTAATCCCTTGTATGTAGCACTGAATTGGGAAGGTGATGGGAAATTGGCTAAATGCATGTTCAGGAATGAATGTTTGAGAGGGCATCAGCTGGAATCCTAGCACTAAAATGGCTTCACATCAGTGTGTACTCTTTGTTATGAACTGCTTGCTGGACATGGTTCCAACAATCGTTGTGTGCATTTGCATTGTAGAAACTATTTTGAGCACTAAACGGTTTCTTTAGTTTCTGAACAATTTGCACTACTAATCTGAATTTTGAGTCATTAAGTACATTGATTAAGAGATTCTAAAATCTACTTAATAATTCCTCATTATTAAACTAATCTTCATGATATAGTGGGTTTCCTTATGGCTGGAGGTGTGATGGTGACAGCATTTGCCCTCCTGCAATCCACCAAATAGTATATTTGTCATCAACCTGAAATAATTTGAGCAATACTTCATAGATTTGGCTGGTGAGTTACTGATGAGACCACTGTTTATTTATAAACCAGATTGCACAATGATGTATGAAACCTCATAAGCAACAGTTTCCTTCTATTTGGGCTTTTGAATTAACATGATTACCTCAGCAAGGGTCCTCTGGGAATAACTACTAACATCTTTCATAAGTGGATCCTTGTGTGGCACGTGTCTGTATTTGCACAAGTTCTGATGTGAGTAGTATTCTTTCCGTTAAGAGGGTTAATTTTTCATTGACAAATTCTGAATATTTCATACAAGGCTACATAAAAAGATGGTTATTACAATTGAAGCTAATGGCATAGGAAGGTCTCTGTCAGCTCTGGATATCAAATTGACTTGATCCACATAATAAGTTGTGGATACATGGATGTTTTTCTGACTGGAAGACGATGGGAAATGGTTTTTCCCATGGGACATTATCCAAGTCATTCATATACATTTAGAAAAATATTGGAAAGCAGAGTAAAACTTCAAAATTTTCCAATGAAAACAAGATGGAAAGTGTGATTAAATAGGGAGAATGATAGCAATTGACTGCAGATAACCTGGCAGAACAGACAGGCAAGTAGTAGATGGAATTTAATGCAAGGAAGTATGAAGAGAAATAAAAGCAAAAAAGAGTGGATAAATTTAGCAGATTAGATGGATTCTTGTGAGAAAAGCGGAGTTAAATTTTCAGCTTGATAATCTTTCATAAGCATGAGATGATTTTGGTGGAAGGTATAGGGAGAGGCAATATAGACTCTAAACTTTGCCCCAATCAAGGGAGCTGGGGATGCTATTGATAAGTGGGCACATTGAGTGAGAGAGAAGTTGATTTGATTTTATTGTAGTCACATATACCTAGGTACAGTGAAAAGTTTTGTTTTACAAGCAGTACAGGCAGATCATTGCAAACAAAGATATACAGATCATAGGGCGCTTAGAGCAAGTCTGACAACGTTACAGCTGCCCAGGAAGTGCACAAAGCAAGATCAACATTATTTGAAGTTGGAGGTCCATTCAGCAGCCTAATACAGAACAAGCTGTTCTTGAACCTCTTCTACCTGACAAAAGAAGTTGGAAGAGAGCATTACTTGGTAGGAGTGGTCTTTGACGTTGGCAGCCTTTCCACGGCACGAGAAGTATAACTGAAGTCTGTGGATGGAAGGTTGGCTTCTGTGATGGTCTGGGCTATGCATGTAACTTTCTGTAGCTGACGATCCTGGGCAGAGCAGTTGCTATACCAGGCCGTGATGTACCCATATAGAATGCATTCTGTGGTGCATCTGTAAAAGTTGGTGAGGGTCCTTATGGACATACCAGATTTCCTAAGCTGCCTGAGGAGGATGAGGCATTGTTAGCAAAGTACTTGAGATGTTGGATATCCTCTGGTATTGAGTTCAAAAGCAGGGAGGTTGTACTGAACCTTTATAAAGTTCTGTTTAGACTGCATCTAGTGTATTGTATCCAACTTTGAAAGGATATGATGGTCCTTGAGAAGGTGAAGAAGCGATTTATTGAGAATGGTTCCAAGGATAAAGGAATTCACTTGCAACGTAACGTTGGAAAAGATGGGTTGGTTGCTTTTGGAACAAAGGTCAAGGAACGCTTTGAAAGCAGTGTACAAAATTGAGAGGTTTAGATAAAGTAGAAAATAAAAACTCTTTCTGTTAATTGATGGGTAAAACATGTAGAGAACACAAATTTAAGTTGTGGAACAGAAGGTTGAGTTTTTTTTTAAATGTAACAGTTGGTAATCAACTGGAACTCTTGCCCACAAAGATCTAGTAAGCAGAGAGGATCAAATTTTTTTCCAAAGGGCATAGAATAGACACTTGGATGAAATAAACTTGCAGAGTTGCAAGGCTAGAGAGGGGGAATAAGACTGACTGACTGACTGACTGACTGACTGACTGACTAGATTTCCCCGTTTTGTGCCAGAAGTGACTCTCTTTTTTTTTTCATATAGAATTCACATAAAATCCCTATAGTGTGGAAAAAGGCCCTTCGCCCCAACAAGCCCACACGAAACCTCAGAGCATCCCATCACCCTGTAATCCACCTAACCTACACATCCCTGAACATTGTGGGCAATTTAGCGTGGCCAATTCGCCTAACCTGCACATCTTTGGACTGTGGGAGGAAACCAGAGCACATGGTGGAAACCCACGCAGACACAGGGAGAATGTGCAAACTCCATGCAGACAGTTGCCCAAGGGTGGAATCGAACCCGGGTTGCTAGCACTGTGAGGCAGCAGTGCTAACCACTGAGCCACCATGCCGCCCCAATGCATGGCGTGCTTATCTAAAGATTAATATTTCTATCAACTTGGGTTCTGTAACATGTATTATTTTGCAATAGTATGCAAAAGCATTGCTCATGTCATTTAGCCTTTGAAGGAAATATGCAGCTGGACAAGTTTGATGCCATTGTGTAGGGTGTAGGTTGTAGTTTGTCTGCAAGAAATTTCAACAGTGAACAATGCTCAGTGTGCGGGAAATTACCATCCAGGAACAAACTGGCCTTGCGCAAGACCAATGTTCTCTTTTAAGGTGCTAGTGTGCAACAGCTCTGTCCGTCTTAAAGGGACGGTGCAGTGCAAGATGATAGCTGGTTGAAGCAAATAGCAGTTAAACGAAGCATTGGTGGATTGACCAAGCAGGCAGTTTTGATTGTGGTGCTAGGGGCAATGAGTCAATGGAAAAACTATGGGAATAGGATATGCTGTTGTACAAACTGGAAACGTTAGTGTGAGGTCAAGCAAGTCAGCTATTTGTACTGTTGAGTTCTGCCTAAGCTTGACTTTTAAAGAAAGGTAGAATTATGGGTGCAAATAGAGAAAATATGAAAGTGAAAAGTACTTAAAGAAAGGCAAACTCGATTTCTATAAGGCTGTTCACATTCTTGGGATATTCCACTATACTACAACGCACTGTAACACAGCGTGTACACACACCAGTTGACCTAAATGGTTAGTGCTCATGTTTATGTTCCACACAGTCCTTCTCCTGGTCCTTTCCCAACGAATCCAATCAGCCTGTCTTCTATTCTTTTCTCTCTCTTTTTTTTTTGTGTGTTTATTCAGCTTTCCCTCAAATGCAATCAATAGAAAGGTGAATCAATCATATTTGAAAATGGTATTGGGATCTCTCTCAAGCCTGTTGTTAGAAAGACAACACTGCTTCAGGACAAAGCTGCTGTTAAACTTCCCACACCAGTTTTAGTTTTTATTAAGACTGTAATATGTAGGAGCAGAAGTAGGCCATGTGATGACAAGGCCTGGTGTGTGGGGTTTGGGGTAAAAGTTCTCTATATTGAGTTCAACAATAATTTTAGGGCCTGAGCACCTTCTCCCATGTCCTTAGCCAACCCCCACACACTACGCCTTGCCATCACATGGGCTGCTACCACAACAGCCCATTCTCCGCTATTAATGGTCCCCATTAGCAACTATTCATTCTCCCAGGTTGACCTTTAACCATTCCTTTGTCTGCCCAACTGTTCTCTCACGCTGTCTCTTGCTCTCTGGGCTCCATCTCCACCTATTGTTTGCTCCTTTGCTCCTCCCCATCCCTTTCTTAGAACTAATTATCGCTAGAAGGTTGGTATATGAAGAAGGGTCATTGGATCTGAAAGGTTAGCTATTCTTTCTCTCCACATGTTGCCAGACCTGCTGAGTTTTTCGAGCAATTTCTGTTCTTGTTCCCAACTCCATGTACCAGTTAAGTATTTGTCCATTACACTCAACACTGTAGCATTAAACCTAATCTTTGCAGCAGTTAGACGGCTTTTCCAATCCCCACACCATCTAATCTTTGGGCTCTGAGTGGGGTTAGTAATTAGCATCGTATTTAGGATAGTATTGTTCTTTAGGCCGTTGCACATAAAGAACTTGACCTAGACTGTCCAGTCATCTCACATGGAATCCTTGCACGTATAAATACATAAATCCTGCCCAAGCTGATAGAATTGGAAGCACTGGTCTTTAACCTACTGCATCGTCCTGTTCCCAAAAATACGTTTTAAAAGATTTTTTAAAAATCGGATTTTAAAAAAACATTAATCTTTATCACTTACTATTTAGAAGTAATATGCACTATTGCACCAATCTTTTTTTTGTCTCTCCGAGAAACTGGTCATACTTTAACGTGCATTTTAGGTCTTCAAATAATAAGAGAACAGCAAGTTTATACACCAGTGTGATATGCAAGTGTTTTGCCACTAAAGAACTGCAAATCTGCAGCACACTAAACCTCATAATTGAGGCATTGACAATTAATTAATAGTATAATTGAACTAAGTTTTATTTTTTACTCCAATACCAATACAATACATTTTTAGTTTAATTATTATCACTTTGCAATATGGGAAACATGGCTGCTAATTTGCACACAGCAGTGTCCCAGAAATATCACTACGATATTGACATTATTTTGTTTATGTTGTTTGATAACTATAAAATGGTCGAGACATCGGGAGAAGTGCCTGCTCTTGGTCAAAATAGTGACTTGTGATCTCTTGCGTATGCTTAAAGACAAACAGTACCTCAGTTTACCATCCAAAAGCTGGTTTGGTCTTGCAAATATTGGTTGAACAAGTTCTGACTCATTCATTTCGTAGGGCAGTACAACATTGTTCCTAACATAAACATAAGAGCTACCTGGCACCCCCTGATGTTTATGGGTAAGTTGCTGAAGTTGGATGAAATAGGAGAGGGATATATAGGGAACATTTTCCCAAATTAGAGCAGAATGTGATAAAGTTCTTTCTTTGGAAAATGTGCTAGCCGCATCGGATTAAGTAGATATGACAAACTGCAGCGACAGCAGTGATCTAGAAGACTTGGAGATGAAGCAGTTTGAGCTGTTCTGCGTTGAAGGGAATGGAATAATTTTTGCTAAGTCATTCCATTATTTTCCCTCTCCTGTTTCACTGCTGTCATGGTTACTCTTGAGTCATTCATTAGTACATAGAACAGTACAGGCCCTTCGGCCCACAATATTGTGCCAACCTATTATCCTACTCTAAGATCAAACTAACCTGCATACGCTTCATTTTACTATCATCCATGTGTCAATCCAAGAGTCGCTTAAATGTCCCTAATGTATCTGACTACCACCACTGGCAGTGCATTCCACACACCCACCACTCTCTGTATAAAGAACCTACCTCTGATATCTCCCCTATGCCTTCCTCCAATCACCTTAAAATTATGTCCCCTTGTGATAGCCATTTCTATCCTGGGGAAAAAGTCTCTGACTATCCACTCTATCTATGCTTCTCATCATCTGGTACATTTTGTTTAAACGGGCAATCCTCAGTTGAGGAAGAAAGTGGACATTTCAGTGGCTCCTTTGTTGAAGTTGGCCTCATTGGAACATATGCAACGGAGATGGAGGAGCTGAGAGAATGGAATGGAGTCTTTACAGGAAGCAGGGTGCAAGGATGTATAGTCCAGATAACTGTGGTAGTCAATGGGTTTAGCCCACTTTTGCTGAATTCCAAAATGCCCACAATTCTCAGACTTCCTGCTTTTGCTTCAGCTTTATATGTTACTCCTTTAGATCTCAAGCTATCCCTAATTTCTTTTCTAAGACATTGCTGACCCACCTTTGCGTTCTTATTTTTGCATCAGACAGGAATGAATAATTCTTGTAATAAATGCACACATCCTTGAAATATGAAGCAATGCCTATTCACCGAAAGCCCCTTCTATAAGGTTCCCCAATCCATCCCTTTGTTTAGATTCAGGACCTTAGTTTCCGATTCACCTACTTCAATCTCAATCTTAAAGAGTTCTATCATATTATGATCACTCTTCTCCAAGGGGCTCCACACAACAAGATTGTTTAATAATCCATTTTCATCTCTCAGTACCATGTCTACTGTTGGTTCCTGAATACATTGATCTAAAAAAAAATCGTGTATATACTTCAGGAAATCCTCGTCCACAATATCGTTGTTGGTTTTATTTATGCAATCTATATTTAAATTAAAGTCACCCATTATTACAGTTGTAACCCTATTGAATGCATCTCTGATTTCTTGTTTAATGCCTTCCCTTATTTCTCCACTATTGTTTACGGCCTACAGACAAGCCCCAACAACTTCTGCCTCTTGGTATTTTGGATCTTCACCCATAAAGATTCTACAGCATAATTTTCTGAGCTAAAGTCTTTTGTCATTATTCCCTTGATAGTTCCTTTGCTTAAAATGCTACCTTACTCCTTCCTAAATAATAAACACCCGTGGATGTTCAGTTGCCATCTTTGGTCACCCTGAAGCCATGTCTCTGTAATTGCAACTATATTCTAACTGTTTATATCTATCACTGCTAATTCACCCACCTTATTGTGAATGCTCTGTGTATTAAAACATAATTCAAGAAAGAGTGTAAGGAGGCATTACTAACTCCAGCCTAGTCAGTCTAATATTAGAGCTGGCTAAGTTGTTAGAGAATAATAACTGGGGGTTAAATGTGACAGGTCTTGTGCACTAGTGAGAAGGATGCAGTAATGGGGTTAGGCGAAAGCGGTAGGAGATGCATGAACACCACCATAGACTGGTTATTTGACATTGCTTTGCTTTGTTTCTGTGCCGTAGATGAAATTTCTATTTCACAGGTGGTTTTAATAGTTCTGAATCAGATATTAGAAAGCTAATCTGGTCCTGCTTTTAATTTCCTGTCTCTCTTGCTTTCCTCCATGTGGGAGAAGAAGAATATTCCTCTGAGGAAACTCTCTGAAGTTTTGTGTTTTATCAATAGCTTGAGATATATCGGGAATATGTTATGTGAAAGATTCTTAGCCTTCGAAGTACTGAATCTAAAGCTGAATCATCTTCAGTGATTTTTAACTTACAGTATTGACTGAAATTTATAATCAAAACCTTTTGTACTTGTTTTTTTTTGATTATAGAGTTACTTTTCATCAAATAAACCTGGAGTAGAACCAAAAAGGCCTTGTCGACCCATTGATATCACGCCGCTATTAAATTTGACATCTCGTGGAGCTAATTACTTAAATATATTTTGGGGACATTTTGCCAAGGTAAAACCCTCTGGTTCTGAATGGCCAAATATGAAGTGTGACACAAATTGGCCGGTTAGTTCAGTTGGCTGCATGGCTAGTTTGTCAGTGATGCCAACAGTGTTGGTTCACTTCGCACTGGCTGAGGTTACTATGAAGGACTCCCCTTCTCAACCTCTCCCCTTGTCTGAGGTGTGGTGACCCTCGGGCTAAACCAATGCCAGTCCTCCCTCTCTAATGAGAGGGCAGCCCTGTGGTCTGGTAAAACTATGGCAACATTACCTTTTGTGTTGAGTGCAATGTTTTATTGCCTATAATGCGATTCAATTTGATATTGTATGTGAGAGTTAATGTGGGGACGGACACTAGCACTTGATATGAAGTTGATTTGACTGTTCATTGAATGTAACTATTTCTCTTTAATTATTTATTTTAGCGATATTCTGTGGTTTTGTACCTAGTAAGACAGCATATAGTAGCAGAATTGCTACATAAGCTTCAAGCAAATGAAACTAGAGCTTCTGAAATTTCCAGGGAATTAAGTAAGTAGTTTTTGCTGGAAAAAAGAGACGCTTGTTGTTAAAGCTTTTTGTCTTGCAATCATCAGGAGTCCTAGTTTTCACTCCCATTCATATTTCTGATTTGCAGATGATGCATTTGCAATTTTTGACTCTGTAATCACATACCAGGATTTCTTTGCGTGCTATAAAATATTGCATTTTGAGGTTGTTCACTTTTCATTTGGAGCAAGTCCTAACGTGCTTACTTTCCTCTATTTCAATTGAGGAATCAATTTCCACTATTGTCTGCATTTGCTAATCAGTATACCTGTTAGGACTTCTGTATTATTTCAAGTATCTCAAAAATTTAACAGGTTAAGCAAGTTGTTTCAAGTGGTGCTTTCTACTGACAGGTCTAAAAAGACCTGCCTACCACACAATTGAGCGACATCATGAATGAATTTCAGTTCCAATGCAACGTCATCTAAGCAGATCATATGTCAATGATTGGCTGATTTGAATCAAACTTCAGTTGTGTGTAATAGTCAGAGTACAGACCATACCAACCAGCAAATTCCAAAGCAACACCTCATGTTGAATGTGATTCTGTGATTGGCAAGGGCTTGCTACATAAACCTGAGGAGGTTAATAGCTATGTCAACCAATTTAAAGAAGTTGTTGCATTTGTAACAAAGTTCATTTATGCTCATTAGATGTTTGCAGAGATCATGTTCTTGGGCACAAAAGGAATATGTTCAGGTTTTGCATCCTTTTCTTAAAATCCCTTGGAGCTGTGGAGCTTAGCTTACCCATTGCAACGCTTCAACCAATCAAACTTGATTTGCTAACCAGTCAGCACCCTTTTCCCTGTGGAGTATAAATTGTTTATTTTGAAATTTGGCTTTCTTGTCTTTGGGTGCAAGATAAAAACTTCAGGAACTTGTTGCTTTTTGTTTCAACAATATTCCAGTTTGGTACCAAATAGCTGTAAGATTTTCTTAGTCAATATTGTAACTTTCCAAATGTAGTTGAATTATGATACAATCAAACAAATCTTACTGATAGCAGCTATTACATCAGAAGCACCGCTGTAGTAAACTATTAACGGGCAGGAAGAAAATCATTACTGCTCATTGCCCTTTGCTCCTGTAATACAGGAAGCTTGGTTGTTCTTTTCCAAAACACCTCCAGTAATGGGATGATATTAATGTTTTACTTATTGGCTTGTGGTTTCTCTAATTTAATGAGTGTGCAAATCACTGGATTTCAGTTTTCATTTTTAAGATGTTCAGACAATTATGTTCTAAAGTACTTACTTGACTGATTTTTGATGTCAAAAAATTTTGAAGTTGAAGCTTGTACTTTTCAATCTAATATTTCACATGTTTAAGCTTCCTAAATAAAGTGCCTCAATCATAAATTGAGGTAAATCCTAGTGTGCAGATATATTCCTCACTATCCTAAGCGTGCATCTTCAGTCTCTCAAGGTGACGTGCCTAAACCACATTAAATTTACCTACCAAATTGAATGGTTGAGGTTGGTGTCTTGTGGCAGATAAGTTGCAGGTTCTTGAACATCAGCAAATTGTATGTCAGTCATTTTTTTGTCAAGATACCTTTTTTTAACGTTTGGTATGCATTGTCTGAATGTCAGAAAAGGATTCTGTAGTAGCTTCCGTAGAAACATAAGGTAGGAGCAGGGGGAGGCCATTCGGCAACTTCGAGCCTGCTCCACCATTCATCAAGATCATAGCTGATTGTCCAACTGAATAGCCTAATCCTCCTTTCTCCTTGTAACCTTTGACCCCGTTAGCCCTAAGTGCTATATCTAGACGTCTCTTGAATACAGTCAATGTTTTGGCATCAACTACTTCCTGTGGTAATGAATTCCACAGGCTCACCACTCTTTGGGTGAAGAAATGTCTCCTCATCTCTGTCTAAATCGTCTACCTCGAATCCTCATACTGTGACCCCTGATTCTTGACACCCCTACTATTGGGAACATTCTCCCATCATCTACCCTGTCCAGTCCTGTTAGAATTTTAAGGCTCTCTAAGATCCTCCCCTCATTCATCTGCACTCCAGTGAAAACAATTCCAACCTAGTCAATATCTCCTCCTGCATCAGACCTGCCATCCCTGGACTCAGCTTGGTAAACCTTTGCTGCACTGCCTCAAGAGCGAGAGCAAAACTGCACACAGTATTCCAGGTGTGGCTTCACCGAGACACTGTATAACTGCAACAACATATCCCCGCTCCTGTACTCGACCTCTTGCAACGAAGGCCAAAATACCATTTGCCTTCTTTACCACCTGCTGCACCTGCATGCTTACCTTTAGCGACTGGTGCACAAGGGCACTCAGGTCCTGCTACAGACTCCCTTTCCCAATTTATAGCCATTCAGTTAGTAATCTGCCACCTTGTTTTTGCTTCCAAAGTGAATAACCTCCCATTTTCTTCACCAATATGTGGAGGAACCAACTAGAGAGCAGGCCATCTTAGACTAGGTGCTGTGTAATGAGAAGGGAATCATTGCCAGTCTAGCTGTGCAAGACCCTTTTGGGGAAGATCGCCCGTGACATGATAGAATTTTTTTATCAAGTTGGAGAATAAGATTGTTGATTTGGCGACTAGGGTGCTGAGCCTTAATAAAGGAAACTACGAGGATATGAGGCGTGAGTTGGCCATGATAGATTGGGGAGAGTTACTTAAAGGGATGACATTGGATAGGCAATGGCAAACATTCAAGGAACGTATGGGGGAATTGTAAATAAACTTGACAGAAACAATTACAGGGCTGTGTGGTAATAACAAGAGAGTGGGACTGAAAGATGGTTCTTTCAAAGCGCTGGCGCAGGCAAAGTGAACTGAATGGCCTGCTTCTGTTCTGTATGATTTCTGCGCAATAGTTTCAAGAAGTTGCAAGTTCTTTCTTCCTCCTCCAAGCAGAGTATCTTCCCAACATAAAATAAAAATTATTACTACTGTTGTTTTATGTTACATGATGACAGTTCTATTTTGATTGGTACAATTTTGGTAATAGAAGTTATCCCTGCTTACGTTAAAAGTTCGAAAAAAGCTGCGACTGGAACCTGACAATGATGTAACCACCACTGGCCTCCGCGTTTCCCTTATGTGTAGTGTAAGTATTCCTATATTTATGCAAGATCTTTTCTAAAAGCTAGTAAAACAAAAGTAAATCTCAAATTCTCTTAATAGTAACTATATTTAGCTTTAAAAATGAAAAATTTTGCAGTGTTTCTACTCGTTTACAAAGGCAATCTCATTTTGTTTCACTTAAATGAGAGCATTTTTAAAAGCTTTCCTTTGTTAAAGAAATTAGATGCCTTCATTTTAAACATTTCAAAATGATTTATGTTCAAGAAATAACTTGTATATAGGTATCTGAAACAGCCAATATGGAGGCATCAGGATTCCACACACAATATTTGGATATTAAGTAGTTGATTTGAGGCTGGGACATGTCCGGATAGTGCCTTGTTATCTTTTAGCATGCATTCAGCACTAATTGGTTAACATCCCATTCAAATAGTATTTTCAACAGTGCAACATTACTGCCGACTGCACCAATACATGTTATGTGGTTTGAATCTAACTGAAGAGAGACTAATTCAAATTGACACCATAAATTTCATCTTTGTTCTTGAAAATATTATACCATTTTGGTTTTATTGTCAAAAATGGAAGCTTCATAATTATATCCCCAACAGTGTTTGCTTGAAATAACATGCATTTGCAAAGTACCTTTTAACTAATAAAATATCACTGAATATTTAAAGCAACATTTGATGCTGATAGTCTTTATTCAGTAAATAAAGAAGTCTTTGAACTCTTCTTGCACATATTCCTGGAGATGAAGATGAAAGAACGGGCTTAAGAACACAGCTTGTAGTAGAGGAAAGAAGCTGTGGATTATCTTTGTGGGTTATTTCCAGAATGTTTCCAAAAGAGTGAGCAACTCGGCACAAGAAGAGGACCTGATGGCCCAATCAGAGCTTACAGTGAATGCTGAAACCAGTTGTCCTTGATATCCATTCAGGTCTGCATTACTGGGATTTAAGGGAGCAGAGATGAGGACCACAACAGATGGAATGGCTTGTTGTGATGAAAGGTGTATAGTGTATATTATTGCCATTTTTGGAATTTGGCTTTGTATTGAGGCAGAAGAAATTGGCCCAATTCATTCTGTGTTTTCTTGTTCCAAAAAAAAGTCAGAATGTCATTTGAATATTCATTTAAATGATTGCATTCAAAGAAGACGTACGGCTGCTGTCAAGTGCCTGACAGATTCCTGTGGTGTAAATGGCTAAAATGTTTCTACTTACTGACCTGATGGAGTGGGTAGTAATGTTGCATTGTTGAAAATAGTATTTGAATATATTATCACAGGCAGAGCAAACATATTAAGGCAAATTAGTTTAAATTTGACTTGGGAACAAAAGTTCAAAGCTTTTCATTCAGAAAAATCCAGATTTTTTTTAATACAGAAAGTAGAATAGTTTCTTCAAGGAGGGAAATCCTTTTTCAGTTCAAAGTAAACAGTCACTTCAGTAGAAGTGCTTTAAAATATTTCTTAATTTCTGAAGATTCAAACCCAGGAGAGTTTGAATAGAAATCTGTTGTCGTTGTTAGAACTGAGTTGATTTAATTCATTGGAATTGTGAAAGGTTCGTGCTATTGGACTTGGAAAGGAATCACGTAATTGTCTCTAAAGTTTCTTATTGAACTGTAGAGTCAGATTTAAAAAGCTGAGGTATGAGTGATATTTCTTTGGGACTGATTCTTTTTAATGGATGGTGTTGAGAAAACAGATTGAAACTTTTTTTTGATGTTTGTGTTAAGATCTTTTGAACAAGTGTATTAATTTTGTTTATTTTGTGTACTAAGATAAATGTGTTCTGTGGTTAAAGAACATATGCAGCCTTGTGTGAATGAGTTTCTGTGTTTAACCAACATATTAACCAACCAGTCGAGAGTATGGTTGAGTAAATTAGTAACTGCAGAAATGTGACAAATAGGCCAAAAATGCATGTAGTTGTAAGTGGACTGGGCATGGATATTCTTCTGAGGAGGCAGGGCTAGAGAGGGATGTAGGTGGAAAGTATGTGATCAAAAATGACCTTTTATATATGGTTGATAACTTGGGATTCATGAGAGCATGTGAGACAAGAAAGAAATATTACAGTGGAAACTGGCAATATGGGTGAACATTTGAAACCACCTAATGAGGATCGAAAATATTGGATGGAGAGTGACAGTTGGATCCTTCCTTGCAAGATTATCCTTTTGTTGAGAAAGAGCATAGGACACGTTCAACTTGAGACATTTGATTTTTAAGATAATTGAAGGGCACATAAAACTTTGTCTTTGTTATGATCGCATTGTTTAGAGTCAGAGTAATAACAGCATGGAAATAGGCCCTTCGGCCCAAACTAGTCCATGCTGACCATCGTGCCCACTCAGCTAGTTCCAATTGCCTGCATTTGGTCCATATCCCTCTAAACCTTCCCATCCACATACCTATCCAAACGTCTTTTAAATGTTGCTATTGTACCTGCCTCAGCCACTTTCTCTGGCAGCCATTCCATATACACGCCACTCTCTGTGTGACAAAGTTGCCCGTCAGGTCCTCCTTAAATCATTCCCCTCTCACCTTAAACCTATGCCCTCTAGTTTTCAATTCTCCATCCTTGGGGGAAAAAGGCTATACGCGTTCATCCTATCTATACCCCTCATGATTTTATGCACCTCCATGAGGTCACCCCTCATTCTCCTACGTTTCAAGGAATAAAGTCCTATCCGGCTAACTTCTCCCTATAACTCAGGCCTACTAGCCCTGGCAACATCCTCATAAATCATCTTTGCACACTTTCCAGTTTAACTGTGTCTTTCTTATAACAAGTTGACCAAAACTGTACACAATACTCCAAGTGTGGCCTCATCAATGACTTAATGCAACTGTAACATAACGTCCCAACTCCTGTACTCAGTGCCTCGACCTATGAAGGCCTGCATGCTAAATGCCTTCTTTGCCACCCTGTCCACCTGTTTTTCTGATCATATTGCCCACTTTCAGTTCTGTAGGCAATGACAAATGTACAGAAGGTCAAAATTCATCAGTGATGATTATGAATGGTGTAATCTGTTTCATCCTGTAGTAATTAGAAATCTAAAATGCCAGAATTCTGTACTATTCATTATTACGAATTTTTGGAAGATGTGATCAATTATTAGCTGTTAAAAGTTGGTTTATCGGCTTTGCTTTTAATTTTACTGAAGCTACAGTAAACTACAAATGCGTGCTGCAGACAGACTGTGGTTTCTGTTGGATAAGTGTGTATATCCTTTCACGTGTTTCTTGTAAGGGGGAAAGTACTTGTAGTATCAATAATTCAAATTTTCTCGAATCTGTAGAAACTGCTGTCATAAACTACACTCTCCTTGCCTTCTGAATGTATAAAACTAGTTGACAGTGGACAGTTCCAATATTTTCAGGTTCTCCAGTAATGGAGCTCTGGCTGTTAACAATGCTTTTAAGGCTCCGGTGGGCAGATTTTTTTTAATCAGCAATCATGGATTATTGGAAAATGCAAGAAGGTGGCATTGAGAATTATCAGATTAGTCATGAACCCATTGAAACAATGGGCTGAATGGCCTCATTCTGCTCCTGCATTTCATAGATTATAATTTCTTATAACTATTAAAACTGCTTCCAGCACTCTGTCAGACTATATATTCCAGATTATCATCACCTTGAAGTCCCCCTTTTTTTCCTTACTAGGTTACGCTGTCTATAACCTCCAGTTACCAACACTTACCAATGAAAACCATTTCTCCCATCCTATTTTTATCAGGTCCATTCTCTTTTTTTTAAAAAATGTTGAAAATAGTGATATTATCAAAATACAGGTTTTCATTTCCAAAGAACTTGCAATGGGCTAACAGAAGAGGATTTAACATAACCTAAGATAAATTGAGAGTGCTATACACTTGGGACCAATGGTCTTGATCATTACCAGACGGTCTTGACATTGTGATCATCTACTTTTAAGGTGTTTGACTGTACCATCTTTGTCATGTGGACATCCGTTCAAGTTTCAGATAGGAGATAACACTACAGCAGAACAGAAAATTCAAAATGTTGTGACGGTCTCATTCACAATTTCAAATGATGCTTTTGAACTATTATTGTATATGGTGTAAAATATTTCTAATATTTTCCAATATTGTTACTTAACAGCTTGGTAAGATGCGGCTTTCGGTGCCCTGTCGTGGCATTACTTGCACACATTTACAGTGTTTTGATGCAGCCCTTTATATTCAGATGAATGAAAAAAAGCCTACATGGATGTGTCCTGTATGTGACAAGCCAGCTCCTTATGAACTGTTATTTGTAGACCAGTAAGTATTGTGCTGCAGACTTGACTTGATGCTTTTTATAATGCCACTCTTAATGAGTTTATATATTTACAGTACACATTTATCTTGGATAGTCTGATGAAATAAAATCAAGTAAGCCCTAACTGCTCGCACCACTGAGAAAATGTGTTAACACTGCATACACATCTTCTGATAGTCCAAACAGATTATACCTCTTTTTAGATGACTAGCTTCAGGTTAATAGGCAGTTGAAAAAGAATATATTATCCAGTAGCACCAGATCAGACTTTTGTGGCTTTACTTTTCAAAAGCATTGATATAGAGAGTGAGGGAATAGGGAAAGCTAGAAAGATGCTCTATCTGGGATAGAAATGGCTCTTTTAAAGTGAGGTTTCTGAGTGCACCCCTCTTTGTTGTAAGCTCATTCATTGCCACCCCATGAAATAATGTCAGGAAAGAACAGATTGATCAGTTATGGACAAATCAGACATGTTATTATGAGCACACTCTGAGCTGCTGGTTTTTTCCAATATTCACTACACCTAGCCATTCAGTCTCCCATAGGCCAAAGTAAGTATTCCCAACATTTTTGAATAAAGTTGGAGATTAATTTAAAAGTATAACTGATCCTTGAACTGGTCCAGCTTTTGTGTGAATCAAAGAATTAACTAAATCTCTACCTGTTGCACATGCAGGTACCCTGCTCGCAAGGGTCTGCTATATTTTTTCACCTTAAGACAGCTAACCTAGTCTGGTCTCGCATAAGTTTAAAATCTGGTCCTCACAAACCTACTTGGTTTGAAAGAAGCTGTCGCTCGAATACAATCACCTCCTTTTATCATGTTGAGCCTTGATCATGTTGCCCTTAATTTTCTCCCAAGTCCCAATGTCCCAATTCTTAGCCGATCTTGCTTCAAACTAAAATCAATCTTGTGACCTCTCTCAGAACTTCAGAAATGTTCAATCACATTCAGAGACCAAAACTGTATTTTAACAAGAAGGCCAAGCAAGTTCTTTACAAAGACATAATAATAGTGTTTTGTCTTGTCCAAAGTTCTATAAATTTCTTGCATCAGCCTGCACACCAGAGTTATCACTTCACAGCATTGCTCAGGAACCTTTTTAAAAAACCTACTGGTTTCTGTCATACTTAGCTCAAGGGAAGATGGTTGTGCTTCTTGAATGCCAGTCATCTCAGCCTCAGGACATTTTACAGGAGTTTCTGAATGCATTACCTTAGGTGCAACAGTTTTCAGCTGCTTCATCATCCGTTAACTTCCTAACATCATAAGGTTAGAAGTGCAGATGTTTGTTTTCAGTATCCTTTGCAACACCTCTGATTATGGAGCAGTCTGCTGTATGCAGCCAGACCTTCGAAATGTTCAAATTTGGACTGATGTGTGGCATGAATATTACTTTTCATTTGAGTACAAGGGCAATGACCATCTCCAAGAGAGAACCTTGTCTTGCCTTGCTGTTCAATGGCATTATCATCACTGTATCATCAGGGGGTCATCACTGGTGAGAAATATAATAGAACAGCCATATAAACAGTGGCTACAAGAATGGATTAGAAGTTGGAACTCTGCAGGAAGTGTTTTACTCCCTGATTTCACCAGGCTCTGTACACAAGGCACAAGTCAAAAGTGTAATGGAATAGCCTACAGTTGTCTAGATGATTGCAACTCATTCAAGAAGCTTGACACCATCCAGTGGAGGGGGGGGGATAAAAAAAACAGCCTGCTTGATCAGCAACAATCTGTCATGTTACAGATTTACTGTCTTTATCACTGGTAGTGTGTCATTTAAAAACAGCAGTGCAGCAACCCGCCAAGGTTCCTTTGATATTTCTTTCCAAACATGTGACCTTGTCAAGAGCAAAAGCAAGAACCGTTCCATTCCAGTGAAAAGTTTCCTTCCAAGGCCCACATCGTTCTTGCTTTGAAATGTATTATCATTCCTTCGATAACATTAGGCCAAAATCTCCTCTTGAGATGTCTCAAGGGCTACATTTTGACATTTGGGGGTTACTTTCTCATTTCCAGTAATTCCATTAGGTGAGATGCAATCATACAGTAACCATACCTTCTGTATTTGTGTGGACACAAGGTATTGGAATCCATACAGAAGCAGAATTAGTGAATTCATCAATATCTTCAATAATTGTCAACCCTTCGTGAACTTTAAAACTACACTACACAAGGTTATCTTTAATTTCCTGGTCACCACAGGATATAAATCGGCATTAAACCACAGACTAAGGAGCAAAGCTCTTTTCAAAATAACTGACACACGTTTCACTAAAGGTACATTAGTTTGGAAGGGATTCGTTTACCTCAGTGATAACATATTTTCCCTGCTCCCAGTTTCTGAATATTTCATACCGGCTTAAAACTGATCATTCCCTTTGACAGCCTGCCTTCCTCTTTTCCTTTGCAGCCCCTTCCTTTATTCCTCATCCCTTTTCTAGCCACTCAAGTCTCACCTTGCCGACTGTGGCAGACTCTTGATCTTCCTCCTCCTTCCCTGAAATCCCTCCACACTATTTCACATTACAATATGAAATATAGCAGTTCAATAAAGCAGCTCAGCAGCACTATTGCCAGAGCAAATGCTGATGGACAATAAATGCTGGCCTTGCTGGTGATGCCCACAACCCGAGAACAAATTGTTTGTCACGCCCTGTCATTTGTGCTCATGCTGTCTTGTGGGTATCCCCTTGTGCACTTGTTCTCATGTGCACACACCTCCTCCTTAGTCCCCCCTCTGTTTCACGTACACAGCCCCCCCCCCCCCCCCGTGTATTCGCTCTCCCCCTCTTTCGCGTGCCCAATGTCTCCCTCCCCGTTCTCTCGCATGTGTCTCTTCCCCCTGTGAACAGCTTTAGGTCCCTTGTCCAAGGAAAAGTAAACTGACATCGGTGGCAGTCCAGCAAGGTTCATTAGGTTGGTGCTGGTTATCGAGGGGCATCTTATAATGGGGGGTCAAGTAGGTTGGGGCCTATACTCATTGGAATTTTAAAATATGTCAGATAACATTATTGAAACATACAAGATCATTAGTGGACTTGACAGGGTAGTTGCAGAGTTGTTGGTTCCCCTTATGGAATAGTCTAGGGCTAGAGGACATACCCAAAGAATAAGGGTCACCCATTTATAACAAAAGAGAGGAGGATTCTCTGTTTTCAGAGTAATGAATCTGTGGAATTCTTTACTGCAGGGCTGGGTCATTAAGTATATTCAAGGCTGAGATAGACAAATTCTTAATCAGTAAGGGAATCAAGGGTTATGAGGAACAGGCAGGAAAGTAGAGTTGATTATCTGATCAGCCGTAATCTCATTCAATAGTAGAGCAGACTCGATGGATTGAATAGCCTACTTCTGCCCCTACAATCTTGTGATGTGGATGTTTCATTGGCCTAAACAGATCTATATGTGTGCTTATTGTATATCATTATTTACCATGATAATGATTCATCTGGTTTCAGTAACGAATAGAACTGGCCATTTTGAAAGGTAGAAATCAATCTATTGCATAATTCAGTAAGTGATTTACACTTTACTGAGGGAGAGACAATCTGTGTGCAGAATAATTTAAATTGTTTGAGGCAATGTTTCTGAAAGCTTAGAATTAAGATTTTGGTAGAGTATGAAGAAATCTCCTACATGAGCCCGTGGCTTGTTTTCTTTTGATCTGCCCATCATGCAGAATGATCTTGCTAGTACAGAAATGACTTCGTGTCTGCTTTTGCTTCTGATTAAAGTCCTGAATGTAGGAGCTTTCCTACATGAGAGAACTCTACACGTCATGACATCCCGTCTGTATCCATATTGCTTTGAGTAATCCACAAACTTTTTGCCATCTTTTCAAAGTAGATTTAACTTGATGGTGATAACCAAGAAGAATGGACAGATGAAGAATAAACACATTTGTTTTTATTTTACTTAGGCTGTTTTTAGATATTCTGAAGGAGTGTGAAGATGCCACTGAGGTTCAGTTTAAGGATGATGGCAGTTGGATTCCAATAAAACCAGATAAGCAGCCTCAGAAGAACTCTGGTCCTCAATATTCAATAGTGGAATTAGAAGGTTTGTTCATTTGATTTCAGTGTAATAGATCATTTGGGTGATGACCTGTAATTTACCATTTACAGATAAATACAAGCTTTAAGCATGTTTTGGGACCTTCTTTCCACATCTGATGCTTGTAAAGATAATTTTAAAAAGGAAACACTTTTGATATACTCTGCCTGTCTGAGACTGCTCAATGCTGAATAATGTCCTTAGGCCTCAATCTGTATTTTGGCTTCAGTCTCAAAACACTCAGTTTCTCTTCTCCAGAGCAACAATGCTGTGGTATCCAAAAGAAATTTGGGGAATTAATGCAGCAGTCCAGTTCTGCTGGGGAATTGGGTGAATGCTCTTGAACTCAATTTGACTTGGCATTTAAACTGACAGAAGAGCTTTGATTGTTAAATTTATATCCAGATACCAAAAATGTAAATGACCTTAAAAAACAAAGTCTTTTGTTAATCTTTACAATCTTTTTGGAAGATTTGCTAGTAAACTGTTGGATATTAGGTCGAATAAAATAAAATAAACAGTAACTACTTTGGCTTTCTAGTAGAATCTTCACTGGTTAACTTTGCTTGCTGGTCACATGGCTGCTTATATACCACTGCCTCTATTTCAAAAATCCTCATCCTCATCCTTATCAGTGGCTTTGGAATTCTCTATCGTTTAATCTCGAGCTTTACTACCCTCTTTCTTGTACATTCCAGAATTTTAAACACCGGAAACATTACAGGATGGGTCCTAAGCTCTGGATTCACAAGCCTCATAAGAAAACTAAAATTATGCCTTAGACCAAGTTTTTGGTTGTTTGTCATCGTACCCCCTTATGTGGTTTAACATCAAATTTTGTTAACATTTTTATGGACCACCCTGGGATGCTTCAATGCACTACATGTACTGAATAAATGCAAACCATATTCAACAAGAGAAAATCTAAACATTGCCCCTCGACAGTCAATGTCATTACCAATATATTGGAAACCACCCCCCACCCCACCACCACATTGACCAGAAACTGAACTGGGGCTAGCCATACAAATGCTGTGGTTACAACAACAGAATTAGAGGCTAAGAATCTTGTAACACGTTACTCACCACCTCACCCCTGTAAGTCTATTTACATGGTGTGTGATGGAATACTTTTTCCTGTCTTGCCAGTTGAGTGCAGTTCCAATATCCAGGATAAAGCAGTGTTCAGTAAACCAACTGGGTGCAACAGTCAGTTCTGTATTATTTATACACTTAATTTATAAAGTGTGAAAATAATACCCAGAATACCTGCTGTTAAACACAACGAGTCTGAAATTTCTTGTTGATTAGGCAAAAATCAATCTGTCTTTTTTTTAAAAGTCTAAAAGTCTCACGTGAAACTTTCAGATATTTCTTGAAAATGTGTTTAATTTCTAGACTTAGAATAAGTATTCACTATTGTCCAGCACCTTGATATAACTCCTATATTTATGATTTTGGTCTTATAATATTTCTCCTTTTCTCCACTTTTTTTCCCCTGCCAATTTATGCATTGTAATCCATTTCCATTCTGCTCCTGCCAAAATGGACTAGTATTTCTGAAATCCAAGATCCCCACGACTGTGTTGTACAAGAATCCTGGGTCTGATATTGGGAGGTGTTTGTGTTTTTGTTTTTGCAACTGTCTATCTATCACCATTGCAATTCAATTTTACTTGCGATAATACCACCAACTACTTGAAGTCACTTACTCCTAACAATGCCTCCCTCATGGACTGAATTACAGCCGGTAAGAAAACCGCTTGGAAGATTAGAGGCAGTGCACTGCAGTAGTTTCAACTGTACCTCTCCACATGAACAAGCTAGAGTTCAAAAAATTTGGATTGCTGTGCTTTTTTTTTTATTAAGGAACATTTTCACCTTCATTTTTGCAAGGATCTGATCAGAAAATATATGGGCATAAAGAGGATCATAATTAAACAAAAGTAAAATACTGCAGATGCTGGAAATCTAACATTAAAAAAAATGGAAAATCTCAGCAGGCCTGGCAGTATTTGGGGTGAGAGCAACACTTAAAATTTCAGGGTGAATGACTTCCAAAAAAAATAAAATAATAAAATAAAAAAAGTGAATAAAAGTAGAAATGTGACAAAAGGGAAGGTCTGGGCTAGTTAGAGGATGGAAGAAACTGAGTAACAAAGATGTCATCAAACAAAAGACAAAGGGAGCGGTAACGTAAAACAAAGAACTGCAGATGCTGGAGATCTGAAACAAACAAAAACAGGAATTGCTAGACCAATGCTGAAGAGCACCTGAAGAGAAAGCAGTGAAAGTTTCAAATCCAGTGAGCCTTGAACAGAGGTAGGGTAATGGTTGCAGTAAAGAGACAAAACAATGGTATAGCTTTGGTGTTAATTGCAGAATAGTGAATAGTTCTCTCTGGAAGCAAAAACAAGATACAGACTGGCACTTTGCAAGAGAGAAAGCAATTGAAATGTAGGACATTGTGTTCAACCCAACATGAACTCAGTGTTGAGTCCATCAGACTGTAAAAGGCCTAATCAGAAAATGAAGAGCGGTTTTCACAAGCTTGCTTTGATCTTCACTGGAATATTGTAGCAGGCCAAAGACAGAAGTATGAGCATGAAAGTAGGGTGGTGAATTAAAATGGTGAGTGACCAGGTCAGGGTACTTGTGCAGACCGATTATGATAATTATCGTATCTCTCCAGCCATGTATTCATTTGCTGTATATTTCCATTCCTATACTCACTAATCCATGCACCAGAAGTAGATTACTACCCTAAATAGAGCAGGAGAAGAACCAAAGGAAATTGCTTCTTTTGCTATTCATCTTAATATCAAAGATGACATGAAAGGGGGAAAAGTACTTACTTTATGCACAGAGTGCACTCCAATTTCTAACAGCTATCTTGAAAGTATGGTGGAGGCAGATTGAATTGAGGTTTTTAAATACATTTTGGATAATTATCTGGAGAAAGAATTTGCAGAGCTACAATGGAGAGGTAAAATATTTTGATTGGATCCAAGCCTAAGTCCTTGTTTAGGGTTTAAGATTCAAAATTTGTAGAATATTACAACTGCTACTTCCTTGAGTCTAGGTTTGTTGAGTGACTTGCCCATTTGAAGTTTGACTGTTATTTATCACCTTCCTCATCTACAACAGCAACACTAATGTATTCTTTTTAATTCACCTGATAACTTTTCCAACACTTTTTATTCAAATGTAGTAAATATTCATTTTTTGCACAAAGAATAGTTTTCAGTAAATAAGTTCTATCAAGTAGTCATCCATGTTATTTTGTTGCATTTAACCAATTCCAACATCCCATTCACTGCTCCCTACAATCCCATTCCCCATGGAAACAGTCTCTCCATCCAGACTAACATTGTTTTTGTGCTTCCCTTAGGTTCTGTAATCTTCTCTATCAAATCACGTACATAACCAACCGTGGCAGCTACATGGATCACACATTTCAGACCTTCACGCACACTACGTGCTACACCTTCCAAATAAACTGACCCATCACAACAGTCTGAATAGACAAAAAGCTAACCCATATTAGAATAGATCCTAGTTTTAGATAAATGGGGCTAGGTAAAGAGAAATAATTTAGTGTCTTTCTGGAATGAAAGTTGCTGTATTTTCTGTCCCATAAAGCATAGCCATTTGGTTGGGAAAAATGAAAAGCAGGATATTTTAAAAGTGGTGGGAGACAGGAAATCTTATTGTTCAAAAGAAACTAACTGTACGCACCACAGAAAGTTAACATGCACAGCTATAATGAAGAAAGTAAATGGGGCCTACTACTTTATTACAAAAGGATTGGAATAGAGGATTTTAAAACGTAATCTTAGTGGAATTTATATGAAATGCTGCTGAAACTAGACTTGAAGTGCTGTTTTTGGTTTCCTTATCTAAGGAAAGATGGACATTATTTTAGAGGAGTGCAACAGAAGTTCACGACCGTTTTTTTTTTGAGAGTGATAACACTATTTATTTATATTTCTAAAATTTAGAATGAGAAGTACTCCCATTAAAGTGCGCTGAATTTTTAAGAGTTCTAGAGATCATAGAAAGTTTACAACACAAGAAAAAGCCCACTTGGCCTGAGGCTGGAAGGATCTTGCTGGAATTCTTGGAATGGGGTGTCAGGGGGTGGGTCACAGCCATGGAATAAGGGGTCAGCCATTTATGACGGAGTTGAGGTGTAAATTGTCCACTTGAAGGATTGAGTCTTTGAAATTATTTACCCCAGAGACCTGTGGATGGACAATCTTTCAAGTATATTTAAATGAGAGATCAATAGACTTGGATACTAAGGGGATTGGGTAGCAGAGTGTAGCAGAGGCTAGAAAATCACCCAAGATCAGAAGTGCAGGAGCAAACTCAAGGAGGACAAATAGTCTGCTCTTGTTTCTTGAATTCTTGTTGGTAATAAGTGAAAATTAGCAAGCCTGCCATGATTTTAGAGGAAGAGGCATCCCCTTTTTTTGTATTTTTTTCCCTGCAGCCATATTGTTTGTTTTAATTGAGGGACAGAAATACTTTGTAAAATTATTGTTCGTGTGACCTTGGAATGAAAGGTTACCAACCTGAAATGTCTCTGTTTCTGTCCCCATCATTGCCACCTAGCCGGAGTATTCACAGCATTTTCAGTTAACATTTCAGATCTTCACTATTTCCAGTAGTTTGTTTTGTGCTGAACTTTGACATCGTTGAGTATTGTAATCCTCTTTTCACCTTGTATTGGTGTCAGCTATTTTACAATGGTAGCATTTGCACTTTGTGTCAAAAAGTTGTAGATTAAAGACCCACAACAGAAATCTTAGAAATGAATCTAGGCTGAAATTTTAATGTCGTAGTTGGGGAGTCTTGGGTGCCAGTTCAGATGAGGCATTAAACTGAGGCCAAACCTCTTATGTGGTTTTTAGATTCCATGGCACCATCTCCAAGAAAAGCAGAACTCTCCTGACAACCTGACCAGTATTTTACCGCAAACAATGCCACCAAATTACCAACTGCATTTTCACACTGCTGTTTTTGGGACCTTTGCTGATGCATTTTCCTCCAACTTCAAAATGTGACTAATTGCTGTAATGTTTTGGGATGTCTTGTGATTGAGAAAGGTACAATGCAAATGAGTTTTTTTTTAAAACAGATAATTTTATATTTAGCTGACTCATTTCAATTTTGAATTTTACAGACACTGGCAGCAATCAGTTCAGTGATCCTGCAAACAGGAAGGGTGACATGGATGTTATTGACCTGACTATAGATTGTTGATTTCAACGGTCAATTGCTCAAAATTGAATGTAACTGTGAATGCTGGAGAGAATTCACTATCAACTGTGCAGGACACAATATGGAAAAACATGTTGAAAGAAGTCTACCTCTAGCATTGCAGGTTTTAGTTACTTTGAGCCCTTCCAGCCACGTCTACCTCCTGAAAGAACTGGTACGATAGAGGATTGGAGCAATGACACTCGTGAGGAGTTCTTATGGATGTGAAGGACCAATGTATCATTCTTGAAATATTTGGAGAAATGGAGACCGCACTAAGTTGTAGAGGATTGTTTATAAATTCTGCTTTGTTGACTGCTGAGTAGGCATTGATCCCTAGTCACATCCCATAATCTTAATGATACACAGGAAATGGGGAGAGGAGAAATTCATAGCCTGTTTGACTGGTATCTTTTTGATCTCCCTTTGTTTCCAGTACAAATATACATGTCAAAGAAGCTTGAAAGTTTGTATGCTGATTTATAAGAGCTATAACAATCTTATAGATTAGATGTATGTTAGCCCAACTCCATCTCACTGCTTGGTTTTCTTTTCAAATTCTTGCAACAAATGTATTGTTAATATTTGTGGAAGCAGTTTTTGCTATCGCTTGCATATCTAATTTCTACCCAATTTTCCCCCACTCTTTTTCACTAATGGGAATAATGAGAAATATATAGCAAAGTTAAAGTGCGTTCTCAACAGGAGTGGCTAGCTCAAAAGAAAACCTTTGCAATATATTTCTCTTCTCTCTTAGATCATGGCAGGAGGATGCCTGTGAAAAGCAAAGCTGCAAAAATGTCAGTATCTAAAGATTAACTATATAATCCATTTGGGGTTTTCTTCTGAAAATAAGATTTGGATCTTGAGGCTCAGTTGGTTTAGAGAGTAGGACTTTTGACAACTCTACTGTGGCCATATTTATTTGTTTCAATTTATTTTTCTATTTTTTTCCATGTCTAGCAGTGCCTGCATTAAAGCTTTTGAAGTCAAGCAGGTCCAATAGTTGGATTCTGCCACTGCTGTTTCTTTACCTTAAACCAAGAGGCACTAGAACTATGCAGGGAAATTTCCCAGTTTTTTTTTAAATCCTTCCCGAGACTAAAAGGTTTGTTTGGAAATTCAAATGAAATTATAGTCGAGAATGGCATTCAACCTAGTTGAGCCCAGTGCTGTGATGCTGTAGCTACTGAGATGCCACTTGCTATTTTTCTGCTTCCTTTTAAAGTTATTGCTGTAAAAAGTTGTACATATCTGCATATAGTTTATTTAGTTTAGTTTGTTTTAACACTTAAGTTGGTCATGGTGTTGAAACACATAATCTCAAATTATGTAAACCGAATAAGTTAAAGCACTGGGCAGATAAGTGGAATTTTGTTTTTGTTATAGCCCTGCTACCAATTTCTGATAATTAGTAAGTAGTGTAATGAGAAAATATTGTGCATTTTTAACAATTCCAAATTTCCCCAACATATGCCACATATTGTTTCTGCCATTAATTTCAGATATGTTGTGTAAAGATTTTGAAGGAGAATAACATGGGTTAATGTCAACTTTTGCCTGCTCCAGTTCCTTCATAGCGCTGCAGTCTGATACTCCTGATTCAAACATCAATTTTCTGTGTTGAAAGCACAAATAGATTTGTGATGTATTTATTGCTTTCACATTTTCACTACATCTGATTATTGAAATGAAAATATTGTCCAATTGTGATGTTTTTACACCATGATTTCCAAATCTATATTAATGTTTATGCTCTAGACTCTGACATTAAAGTAAGGATTTGGATCAGTAACATTGGCTGTATTTTATGCTTATTCTAAACATTTGCTGGGTAGAAAGTATTCTAAATTAAATAAAGTCATGTGAAAGTTTTTGACATACGACAGCTGATCAAACCCCTGTTCATTTTCCTAAGCAGTCATTATACCTGATTGTTCTATGAAAAGAAAATTACATCTTCATGGTTTAGAAAAAGTACTTTCTGAGCAATTATTTTTAAAAGATACAAAATATAAGGTTTAATCATAAAACCAAGCATCATAGCCATGTCTATAGGGAGTTCTACACAACTGTCAAAGCTTTGGAATTTGTTGTGGAATGAAATAAGTAAGGCTTCAGGAAAGTTTTCATTTATCTGTTACCTGAATTTTTAAATAGAATGAAATTGCACAAAAAGGTTGAATGAAGATTTTAAGACCCAAATCTTTAGAATAAGGGTTGCAAATTTTCTGTGGACATGTTAACACTATGTTCAAGCATTTGTCCAGAAAAGCTACTAGATTGACCTTGACAGAATGTTGTGCACTGTTGAATATTTAAATGGAATGTAGCTTCCAATGACCAGATGCAGTTTTACTTTACAAATTTAGTTTTCTTTTTTAAATACTTCTGCTTATATGATTGTCTGTCTAAATACTTAAAGCGAGATGAAGTAACATAGATATCGGCTTCTACTTTACAAGTGCCCCTTTATTCACACCATAGGTTAAAATTGAACAAAAGGTCATTGATACTACTTATCATCTTAAAAAGCACCTCGTTAAGCATGTTTCCTCCTCTTGTTTTTGGTTAAGCAGTCTTCAAAAATGCTCTTGTGTAATGTAGATAAATATCAGGTTATTTAATATTTAATAAACATTTAAACTTGCATCTCACTATTCCTTGAAAAGAAGTGAAAATGTTGCTGTCGTTCTCTTTCCTTCAAGCATGAACCTGGTTTCAACCAAACAGCTAGCTTTTCTTCACTGTTTCAATTCTTTCCGCTCATGGTTTTCCACATATCTCCTGATAACTGAAACAGGAATACAGTTCTTTTAGATGTGACTAGTTTTTATTACTTTGTGAGATCCTAGACAGCATGTTTTAGTAGGAATGTGCATTGTGGGTTATTGCAGCCAAACCTAAACATGTCCTCACTTAATGTCTACATATGTGAAATCTTCAGCAAATTTCACTGGATAGGTAATTAAGGATTAAAAATGTTGTTTTTCCTCCTACCTAAGCTAGTGGGCGCTGTCAATTGTAATGTCCCTGCTTCTATTTGTAAAATGTAATTTAGTTAATCTTGACCTGTGATCTGTGAAACTGATGCATTTATTCACTTTACAATTAAGGGATCCTATTGGTGTGGATGGGTAGACTTATCCCCTGGGTAACTTATCCCCTCTTTTTGGAAAATACTTTGTTTCTTTGACTGTGACATGATTGTAGAAAACCTTATTGTGACATTACTACTGATCTCATTATTTCAGCATTTATATGTTAAAATAATTGCAGTCATGCCATTGGACATGAGTAACATTAAGAACAGTATTCCAAAAGAAAACATGTTGCCTATATAATTGGTGAGCACCCTCCAGTCCTGGTGTTTTTCTTGTTTTCTCTCCTTTTCTCCAGTAATTTCCTAGCTCTAATTTTAGATGCATAGTTTTTGAGCATTGCGGGTTTGATCACCATCTCTTCATTTTTCTATTTTAGACTACAGTATTCATACTACTTTAATTGTCTTAAGGAGGGCATGATAAATTAATATCTTGAAACTACTTGTGGTTTGCAAATGGTCACCGATCAATCTGACTGAATTTGCAACCACTAATCCATATAAGCATATGGTTTAGACACAATGTTGTAGTGTCTTACATACAGACACCGACTCCTGCCATCTCCAGTTGCATATTGTCACTGATAAACTGCATACCAAACTGAGCTCAGAGCTGCAGTATAATCACCTTAACCACTGCACAAAAAATTGGCCTTCAGATTATTTAAACTTGACTCTTGGCAGAGGAAGATCTCCAGGATGTGGGAATAAAAGCATTGATATTGTCAGATAAGAGAAAAGTTTGAGCATAAGATTTGCCTCTTATAGGATAGTCTTGCCCAATCATCAGTTGTGTGCTTAAGTGTTGAATGGGAGGAAGGTGCACATGATGAGAATGTTATGGTGTGGTCCTAATGGATGGTCAGCACAAAGGCACCTTCTATGTTACTTGATAAAAGGCTGGTGGCCGAACCTTTCGAATCTCTGCTTGTATGGATAAGAATAAAGAGAAAGAAAATGAATTCCCATCTCTGAAGGGTCTGTAGAAAACCATGGGTGACTACAGGTGGCAAGTTGACTCGTCACATGTCCTTTTGGGATGGATGCTTTGTAATTACCTGATAGTTAGGGTTAATTTTAAAGTGGCGTAAGTAATGGTCAGATAACTTGTTGGTTGAGTAACCATTCATTGTATCACCAGGGGGAACACTAATACTGTACTTCAAAATAGTACCAGAGCGACACACTCTGTTTGAGAGGGCCTTTGGTTTAATATCTCAGCTCAAAGATTCTAACAGTGTTGTACTCCCTAGGTACTAGATAAATTATCAGCCTAGATGGCATATTCAAGTCTTTGGAATGGTATTTGAACCCATGACTGTGAGTCAGACAAGCCACGCACCTAAGAAAATTTCTACGATTGAATATTCATCTTGGGAAGTTTTATTTGGTGACCAATGACAGACAAAAAGGGCTTTTGACTTGCACTGTGACCAACTATAGTTTAGACATATCTTTAAAGGTTAGCGAAAAGAATCCTGAATTATCTCTGGACTACTGGCTGCAGCTTTCCAAAAAATCTCACGCATACCACAGCACTTAGCATATTTACCTGCAAATGATAAATCTAGATCAGCGCATTACCTTCAAGTTTACTAATCATAAACAGTAATAAATGACGGAAAAAAGTAAATATCTGAATGCATTTTTAAATTGGAGAATTAAAAGCTAAATATCCTGATTTCTGATGTGTGCTGACTTATTAATAAAGATCCATTCCAGTGCTAACACATTTGACTTTATTCATGTTATATGAACGGAAGTAAATGAGACTGTAGTAAAATGCTGAAAGATAAACAGGCCTGTTTGAAAATGGTCTTCACATAAAGTTCTAATATGAGGTGCATTGCTTGCTCTCCATCATTTCACTCCTCTATACTGCATCAAAATGGTACAAATTAGGCCAAATTAAACCATTTGATCTATCCAATCCATGTTACCACTGCAGAGCAATCCAGACAGTCCTACATCATTCTCTTCTCTCCAGTGCTCATCCAGTTTCCTTTGGATAATCTCTTTATAACAAATAAAAACTGAAAGAACTGTGGATGCTGTAAATTAGGAACAAGAACAAAAACAAAGTTGCTGGAAAAGCTCAGCAGGTCCGGCAGCATCTGTGAAGGAAAAAACAGTGTTAACGTTTTGGGTTCAGTGACCCTTCCTCCGACCTGACAGACCTGCTGAGCTTTTCCAGCAACTTTATTTTTGTCTCTGCTTACAACTTCTGTGTTAAAAGTCTTCCTCCCTATCCACCCTTATTTGTCACCCAACACTTTAAATCTGTGTTCCTGAGACCTTGCACTAACGGGAACATCTTTTTCTCTACCTTACCTACCATGATCCTGTACATCTCTATCAGATTACACCATGAAGAATAATCCCAGAATTGCCATCCTAACCCTGTAACTAAAATTCTTCATCGCTGGAACCATTGTGGTAAATCTCTGCACCATCTCACGGGCCCTCTCAAGTATCCTAAGTTCTGACCAGAACTGAACACGGCTCTATGTGGAGCCTAAAGTGAGCTCTAACACAACCTGACCCACCATAATTTCTTGTTTTTGTACTCCCTACTTCACTTTGTGAAGTGTAAGATCCCATACACTTTGCTAACAACTCAATATGTCCTGCCACCTTCAAAGATCAATGCGTAATTTACCGACCTGCCTCCAAATGTTTCTCTGTTCTAAAACGTCTCAGAACTGCCTCGGAAATACCTTGTTTTAAACGAGAAGAAGTGAGATAGTGTCAAAATTCTCATGGTATGTTGTACTATGTTTAATATATTTTAAATGGCTGGAAGTTTGGCACTGTAGTACCAAATGATGAAAATAGCAAACTGGAACTTCTACACAGAGATTCTATTATTTTGTTCAAGCTAACAAAATTGAAGCAGATCTCATCACTACTGCATTCCTGAGTACAATTGGAGGGTAGGGGGGCAGAATACTTTTAACTTCAGGAGTGGTAACTGCCAGAGAAGCCAGCTTCCAAATGTTGTGAAGGAATAGCGGGAATCCTACATAATTTTTTTTTTGCCATAAATCATTGGTGATTACTGAAAGGTTCAAATTCCACAAAGTACGACCTGCATGACGGTGAATCTATCTCCCAGTTTGTAACAATTTTAAACAATTTAGCAAATTCAACAGACGAGTTATGTTAACAGAGATAGAATGCTAGGGTTCAAGATGCAAAGCAATCCAGAAGAGATTACTGATAGAAAGGTACATAGATTTAAAGTAAACACTGGAAATATCAGTAATTATGGAACTAGCAGCCAAGGAAGCTCCACAGCCAAGCTTGAACATACGAGTTCCCAAATTGGCAGCTGAGTGTGTTCACAAAATGGCTGAGAGCTGAGCATCAATGCAGACTCAAAATCTCCATTGGGACAGAAAAACAGGTCACACTGCAACAAATTGCTGGTTATAAAGCAGCTGTATGTTTAAAAATAAAGGGATGTATTGAATGAGTGTGTCTGAGGAAGAGAAATAAAACTATACACCACAATTACTGAAACTGAAGAGTAGGAAGAAAATCGACACAGTACAAAAAGGGCATGCGAAAACACAAACTCTCAGTCCAAAGAGGAGCTGATACTGGGTTGCTGCCTTACTGAATGATAAATGAGTAAGATTGGAGTGGCAGTTTCATTGATACCTGAAAGTGTGTATTAGAAGCAGCTGAATCACATGGTGCTACAACTCTCAAAAATTGTATTAAGAACATTCACAAGTGGTGCCTTTAAGGTGTATCAATGTGAGTGTTGAGTTATAG